TTTACTTTCTGGTTTACTTCAAATACTACTTTCTCACGTTTAAGTCTTCAATGTACAACTTATTTTTGTATATGTCATGAGGTAAAGACTTAACTGAAAATTCTTAGTTAATTATCTAAATACAATTTTATAAGTAATCCATTGTCTTTACGCTTATCAGAAATATTATCTTGAAAATATACTAATTAGAAATATAGAAGTGGATTTGGTCATAGGATTTCCATTTGATGGCAATAACCTATTTTGCATTGGTAACAAATCGATAAGACACTTTTGAAATTATGGTTTTTATAATATATTTTAAAATGTCCCTTTTATTATTCTCCTTTCCACAAATTTTGTTGTTAACAATTCATTCATTTTTCCATACAAGCTTTTAAACTTTGGTCAAGTTCTAAACAAAAACCTTTGAGATATTTAAATTACTTTATGGAAATTAATTTAAAAAAAAAAAACTAGCATTTTCTCAATATATTCTCTTCCTATTCAAAAATATGAATTGTTTCCCAAAAAAGGATTCTATTATTTTCTTCAGTAAAGTTTCATGGTATTTTTATGTTATTCAACATTTTATTGGGAATGAAATCTAAGCTACCAATTTTGCAGAACTCATTGGCAAATAATCATCATAGTCTCTTCTTTTCCAGTCTTTGTTTTCTTTTTCTTGTTTTATGGTTTTGGGTGGTACTCTACCATGATGTTCTGTTATGGTTGCCATGGGTATCTGTCTTATTCCTGAATTTCAGTCTTTTATTAGAAAGTATAACAGGAAAAAAAAAAAATGGATCTCCCAATTCACATTCATTCTTCTCATTGTATTTCTACCATTTGTATAGGGTTTTGAACATTGAAAGTCTATAATTTCAACCAACGATTTTTGTGAAAAGCCTGCTTTAGCATAAATTATAAGGCCTTTAAAGTATCAAAGTCTGAGCACCTGCTTCAAAGTCTCACCTTGGATCCAGAAACCAGTCTGCCACCTAGCTGATCATACTTCAAGATAGTGATGGCTGCTTTGTGTCCATTAAAGGTCACATTTCCTTCCCCACTCAGGAGACTGAAGATTCTAACAGATCCATCCTCATAGCCAACAGCTAAGTGCAGCCCATCTGGGGAAGGGCACAAGCAAGTGACTTCTTGCTTAAGCCCTTGAAGGATGAGGATCTGAAATCATAAAAATCAAAAACAAGGTAGAAAAATTAAGCATATTATCAAGGTAAAACTGTAGAAATAACTGAAAATCTATAATTCCAAATCGCTCTTATAAATGATAAAACTCTGTAATTCATTTAAAGTTATTTAATGTAGAAATTATTATTTGTACTAGGCAATAAAATATTTAAGAAAAAATAAAATTATTTTGTCTAAAGCTGTGCACTGGTATAACATACAAAAATTATGTGGGCAATGTAATAAATTCATAAGTTTCATCCAAATGATATTTAATAAAGGGTTATAAACTCCTCTTTGCTTTAACTGAGCCCCATTTTATGAGAAATAAATCTGCATGGCCATGTAGTATAACAAACTGTTTATCATGTGGTTTTATCCCAAGAAATCCTGGGTGGCAAGAGTATCAAAATAATAACCTCTTGGGAGTCAGATAGTGAATGGACAAAAATAAAATTCCTATATTTGATTTGGAAGAAGTGGTAAGCTTAAGGAATTTAGTGTTACACAAAGTCAAAGCCTGGTTTAAAATCCCTTGTATAACTAACAAAAAGATGGTTATCAACATAACACAGTAATACACCATTTAAATGTCTAACATTTTATAACTGACTGTAAGAGCAAGTAGAACTTGGAAAACAGAGAAACTGGTTGAGAAATGCAAAGAATGCTAGGAATAAATAATGACCACAAATAATGACCTACAAATATCACTACCAGACATCTAAGAAGTAAGATCCTATTTGGTTATGATTTTCAGAATTTGGTGAAGAACACAACAAAATTTGATGGCCAGTTTATCTAGATCCAAAGGTAAAAGACATTTTTACTAAAGACACATACACACACAAAAAATCAATAGATGATAAATAAATCACAGCTCTCCCACTTCTACGTATCCATCTTCAAATACCCACAAATCATTATCAACCTAGTTGATTTTTGACTCACCTTCTCTCCTTTTCTTAAGTCCCAGATGAAAACATGTTCACAGGCTGGTACTGCCACATAGCGTCCTTTCTCACCACGAAGTGTCACAAAGACAATATTACCTTTTTGGCTTCCGATCAGGCCAAAGACCGCACTAGCAACATAACGTAGGTATTGCTTGGTAAGCCCCATGTTATGATGTCTGATACTGCAGGGGAGGTAATCTGTGCATATAAACAAAGAAAACTCAGTTCTTTAGGTTGCTTGGTTCTGTTTATTATGTAGTTAAAAGCATATAACTTGTGGTTTCTTAACCTTTATTTAGACTGAATAAATCATTATTTTTAAATCCACTAAGGATACTCGATCTTTCATGCTTTAAGCTTTAAATTGTTTAAACTGTCAGATCAACCTCATACCAAATATCTGACACAATGCCTCAGTGCATCTAAACAATTCACTTCTGCCCCTTGAATTACAAAGTTTTGACACTATGATTGGCAGCTTGAGATTGAACGTATTTATCAATGAGTATTTACTGTAAACCTACTAATTAGATAGGCACTATTCTAGGCACCAGAAATATGGTGCTGAACAAGACAAAAGCCCTGACCCCATGGTACTTACCTTCTAGCATGGCAGTTCTCAAACTAGTATTCACCCAAGTCATCTGGAGGTTTTACAGAAAAACTGCTGAGAACTACTTCACCCCAACTCCTAGCACCTGTTTCTTACTCATTATGTGTGGAGTGGTGTCTAAGATTTCATTTCTAAGAAGTTTCCAAGTACTTCTGCTATTGTGGTCCTGGGCCACATTTTTAGAATGACTGTCCTACTAAATGCAGGTTTGTCCTTGATTTCAAAAATCAGAACACGCACCTCCCTTGACACAAAAATGGTGGAGCAATTTGGCACACAATTTTTGAAAGATTCCTGCAAATGCATAAAAATGCTGGTTGTGAATAAAAGGTACAAAAAGAAAAGTGGGTAAGTCAATCATGTCTGTTCTCCAATGGAAGATTCAAAAGTGTTCCCCAAACACCCACACAACTTTAAAAAAAAAAAAAAAAAACCCCACAGAGGTTATACTCTTTTTCAGGAGCTGTTTCTTGTTTTTGTTTTTTGTTTGGTTTAACTCTACAAGTGTCTCTTTCTGATTAGAATCAACATATTAGTCTACTTTAAAAGAAAAATACCCAATTCCAAACTCTACTAATATTTGTTAGTATTCATCTACTGGCCTCAAGGCTCTACTCACAGACACTAAAACAAAGCCAATTAAAAGTCTAGAAAAAGCTGGGTGTGGTGGCCCACGCCTGTACCCAGAAACTTGGGAAGCTGAGGCAGGAGGATCAGGAGTTCAAAGCCAGCCTCAACAACTTAGCAAGGCTCTAAGCAACTTAGCAAGAACCTGATTCAAAATAAGAAATATAATAAAAATGGTTGGGAATGAGGCTGGGTTCAATCCCCAGTATCCCCAACCAAAAAAAAAAAAAAGTCAAGAAAATATTGATATGGTGATAATGATTTTGGCCTAGCCATTTGATTAATTCTTTCCCAATTCCTCTTACTCCTAAAGCCTCTTAACTACAGCTCCTCGGGTTAATCCATCTACCACCTCCTTCTATCATATGGAGAATTCATATAGCATGCCTAGGCCAAGGGATTATTTTTATTTCCAGTCCTGTCTACCTACATGAATACTAATTACAGAGTTCATATTCCAATTCAGCAAGTCTTAACTCCAAAATTTTTTGCCTTAAACCACTACACTAAAACACTTTTCTCCTCTCATATCTGTCAACTCAACCTGATTGTTTTCCTGAAGTAAAAATTCTTTTTTCTCTTTCTGGCACTTTCAGTTCCAGTTTTTTATCACTGCACAGTTTTTCAACTAGCACCTCCACTTCCATGTTTTTCATTATTTTCTTTCAAAAGCAATATTACCAGACTAATCTTTTTCAAATGCACTGTCCCTACTTCACAGCCCTTGAAAGGGCTAAGTCGTTTTCCAATTTCCAATAACATCCTATTCATTCTACGTTCTCTCTCAACCTTCTCTCTTGTAGGACTGGTTTCCTTTTGTGACATTGCTTTTTTTCCTATTATCTTCTCACCTACAACAACATGCATTCTCCTGTCTACCCATTTTACTTAGATTATCCTCTAACACCCACTTCTTTCCCGGCAAGCCCTATTCTTGCAGCCTCTTCTATGGAGTCTATATTTAAATAACATTCCATGCAACTTGGCACTGGTCACTTTCGTTTCGCGTACTCAGATCTCACCTCCTTCTGGAGAGACTTCACGACCTTATCTTCTTCCAAAACTACACCATCACCACTTCCTATCTTACAGCTCTCCCAAACACGCTGTTTCTGTAATGCATTTAAGGCGTGGTCTGTGGGAACGGACTCGTCACGTCCCGAAAACCAGGATTAAAGTGTGGGGATTCCGCACACCGAACCAACACGGCTCAGCATCTTCGGGCAAGCCCGTGCACACGCGTGGCCAGGCAGGTCTACTCTGCTCGCGCCAGCCGCGAAGGTAGCAGAGAGGCCTCCAAGTACAGCTGTGCGGGCCCCGGCAGTAACCCGTTTGCCCCATCTTTGCGATCCGCCGCCAATTCCCCCGCACAACTCTCCTGACACCACGAAGGCCTCCGCCAAGTTCCACCCAACAACAGCGCCTAAGAAAGGTGAACTGCAGTCCCCGTGCATCCCTAGGACTCACCTCAACCTCCACGAGGCTCCGGCCATCAGCACCCGCCCCCGGGATCCGCCTCTTCCGGGCAGGTCGGGAGCCTCTTCCGCCCAACCTTCCCCTCACCTTCTAGGCGGAAGTGACGGGAGAGCGGCACTTGATTGGGCGGCAGTGCTGTGAGCGGAAGCCGGTGTTTCGCAGCCCAGAGCATTTGCAGCTGGTCATTCCAGCTTCGGGAGACTTTGGTGTTAACCACCGCGTTCCTGCCGAGGGTTGTCAGGAGATGTCGCTTGGCAGCCTTCTACGAGGAGTTTAACCCGTCCCGCCGCCGCCCGGATGGGACCGCCGGAGTTCTGTGAGAGGCGGGACGGAGGCCGGGAGTGAAGGCGGGGTGGGGAGGGCGGGGGTGCGGCCGGCGGCTCACGGGACCGGGCCCCTGAGGCGAGTGCAGTGCGGAGGGGTTACCTCCTCCGGCTTTGACAAGAATGAGCGTGGTACTACTTCTTTCCCGACTATTGGTTAGGTTCTCAGCCGAGGCGCTGTCAGGGTCGGTGTGGTGATTAGAAGAGGGTACACAGACCCGGACCGTGCTGTGGTAGCCAAGGAGGTGTGCGTCCTGGGATGCAGACAGAATTGGGCGTCCGGGAGCTCTGCGGGTTGTAGGTCCAAGGTCTCCTCAGTCTCGTCGTCCCTGTGTGCTGGGCGTTCCACCACGTGAGAGCTGCTCAGGTTAAGAGTGGATAGACGCTGAGCCCAGGATGTTGAGTTGTCTAGGTCCACGCAATCCCTAAGTGACATTGGTCTGGCTTTGTGTTTCCGCTCTCTGGCCATTTGCGAGGGAAGTGACCAGGGCTGGCTCCTCCTTGTTTGCTGACTGAGGCTTTGGTGCTCTGTTGCCAGGTGAAAATTAGTTTTTCTCTTTGTCAGTTCTGCCCATTTTTATTCTTGTGCTGCATAGAAGTTTTAGAAATTAACTCTGACATCTATAGCTGTGCAAGATGAAACCCAACATATAATATACTAAAGTAAGCCCCTGCCATCGCTTATTGAACAAGAAGACATCTATAATCAACCTGGAAATTGAACTTTTATATGATTGTCTTCGTGTTTTTAAGAAAATTAAAGCAGTAAGAATACACGAGATGACATTGGATACTGGATCGCCATAGAAATGGGTGTTTTGAAACAAGATTTATGTGAATTATATGAATGAGAAGGCAGGAAATGGTGGCATTAGACTTATTTCAAGAAGTCTGTAAGGAGAGTTCAGATGGATGTATATTGTTAATATCTCCTATAGATGCTACACATTCTTATAGAGGCAAAGTATGTGCTTCAGTAACAAACTACATAGTTTAAATTCTACCTAAAGATACCCCTTGGATTATCTGACTCTGAGGAAGCTATTTTACAACTGTGTAAACTGCAGATAATATTAATGATAAATAATTTATTTGTCTGTAGACATGCAAGTTCTCTCCTGTCTCTTAGAGGTTCATTGGAAATTTTGCCTCCTTTTGCATATTCATTTCGGTATTACTAATTTGTTAATGGATCTAATTCTGATATTCACTTTATCTGCCATCAGTCTAGCTCCTTTTGAAGGAAATAAAATCTTGAATATGTGTCCATTTTGATATTTTAAAGAGTCATGATTTGGGCTGGGGATGTGGCTCAAGCCATAGCACGCTCGCCTGGCATGCACAGGGCACTGGGTTCGATCCTCAGCACCACATAAAAATAAAATAAAGATGTTGTGTCCACCGAAAACTGAAAAATAAATATTAAAAATTCCCTCTTTCTCTCTCTCTCTCTCTCAAAAAAAAAAAAAAAATAAGAGTCATAATTTTACTTTAGAAAAAAAAAAAGTGCTCATGCTGGGCACAATGGTTCATGCCTATAATCCCAACAGCTCTGGAGGCTGAGACAGGAAGATCTCAAGTTAAAAGCCAGCCTCAACAAAGAGCAAGATGCTAAGCAACTCACCAAGACCCTGTCTCTAAATAAAATACAAAATAGGGCTGGGGGTGTGGCTAGGTGGTCAAGTGCCACTGAGTTCAGTCCCTGGTACCAAAAACAAAAAGAAAGAAAGAAAAAAAAAGAAAAAAGTTCTCTTACCATTAAAAATTAAGGGAAGGGGTAACTACAGAAGAAAGAGTTTTAGTAAGAATGATATCAGAACAACTGTGAGTGCTAAGATAACAGATCTTATAAAATTCCTTTACACTATATCCAGGTTATAACCCTACTTTCATATTCAAATTTTGAATTGCTCAATGTATTAATACTTACAATTGAAACATGGCATGATTTGTTTGATATGAAAGTGGTGCTGCTAATTCACTATTAGGACATGTGCTTTTTGCATTTTTTTTTAATGATGGTGTTTTGAAATGGGCCCATTGATGGGACTTAGAAATGTTTTATTGTATTTGTTGTTGATACATTTGACTAGTTAGTTTTTATATGAGCAACTTAAAAATGTTCCTTCTATTTGCATAAAATGATTCTCAAGTACAATAGATTTAGTGTTGGGATAGAGGTGGTCTGTACAAATATCCTAATATGCCCTGAATTTGTAAATATTGAAATACAAAGACATGGTAATCTTGTAATTTATGCAAAACCAGTGAAATAAGTGTGGTAATTATTGAAGGTCAGGTGTATGGACCAACTCTCTTTGTTCTTTTATCCACACTTGTCTAATCAATGTAAGTATTTTGAACGACAAATAAATAGAAGTTCTCATTTTCTCTTCAATGCCATTTTCTTTTTGTCTAGAAAAATATCAGGTTTTTGAGACAGTGATCAGGATATTCTGCGTGATTCTGTCCCATCTTTTTTTTTTCCTGCTCATTCTTTAACTGTAAACTCTTAATTTCTCTAGCCAACTCAGTTATTCATATAAGACAATAATTAGAGAACTTCTTAAACTAAAAGATGACAGGATTTGGGCAGGGGAGAAAGAGCTGCAGTGTAATGAGAACTGTTTACACTAGATCGTTTTAAATATAAAGAACAGGTAGTATACATAATGCTCTTTATATTTAAGTTCTTTCTGTTCCACTAAGATACAAAGAAAGTTCCACTAAGATACAAAGAAAGTATGGCTAGGGAAATAGATCTGATCCATTCTGGAATCTTCTGATTTTTGTCTTATGTAGACTTTTTGATCTGAGGACATTAATATGCTTCAGAAACCTGTTCTATTAACACTTAGTGTTTGCTTATGAACTTGTTCAAACAACAGAATTGATCATTTGATTTTCACCAGAAAATCTTGTTCCCCATTAATGTTATCCAAAATTCTGGCTGTAGCTGGAGATTATTGTGGTCTTTCCCTGCTCCCTCCCTCACCTGAGCACTGTTTGCATTCTTTTTGATCACTGGAATTTTTAATCTGAGAACTCTCTCAAATTTATTTGCGGATCTGTGATTGTATGAGTGCTCGAAAACATATTTTGGGGGTAAAAGGGTCTTCATGTTTCATGTGGTTCAAGGTCTATGGCCTTGAGAATGTTAAGAACTACTGTTCCTAAGTCAGATTTTGCTGCCTACTTTGGGTTTGCTACTCTTTTTGCTTCATTGCTACTGTGTGTGTGTGTGTGTGTGTGTAGGGGAACGGGAAGTTTAAATCTTTTTTTTTTTTTTTAATGAGAAAGATCAATTTCTGCTAGGAGATGGTGCTTCAAAAGAATTCAAACTTTGTTATTGCTGTGGGTATATACGTGACTGCATGACCAATGTAATTCTGCAACCTGTACACTCAGAAAAATGAGAAATTATATCCCATCTGATTCAAATGTATGATAGGTCAAGATCATTGTACTGTCATGTGTAACTAATTAAAACAAATTAAAAAAATCAATACCCATAAAAAAGAATTTAAACTTTGTTAAATACTATGACATAAATGTAATGGCCTTTCCATAAATTCCGTTAAATTTTGCCCTATAGTGAGAACTATGAGCATTATATTACTCATTTAAGACTCATTGTCTTGTGGGTCACAAGGACTTTTAAGAACTGAGAGGAAAATCCAACAAGTTGTACTAACAAACTATGATTGGAGATATAAGAGAACTATTAGTGTATATCAAAGAAGATAATAGAATTTCAAGAAGGGAAGTGATCAATTGTAAATGTGACTAAAATTTGATTAACTCTTGGCTTTGACTTTTGTGAAGTTATTGTTGACCTTGAAAGAGAAATTTTAGCATTTCTGGAGAGTGGAAACAAAACTACAATACGTTGAATAAATAGGAGAAAAGAGCCCAGTAGTAAAAATTACTCTTAAGAAGTTAATGGGTAGCCTAGGTGGTGGCGCACATCTGTGATACCAGTGACTGGGGAGGCTGAGACAGGAGGATAGTAAGTTCAAAGCCAGTTTCATCAACTTTGTGAGACCTTGTCTTAAAAAATAAAAAGGGCTGAGGAAGTAGCTCAGTGGTAGAGCACCCTTTGGTTTCTTTCTCAGAACCATACACACACCAGGAAGAGAGAGAGAGAGAGAGAGAGAGAGAGAGAGAGAGAGAGAGAGAGAGAGAGGGAGAGGGAGAGGGAGGAAGGAAGGAAAAAGTTATACATACATATATTTTTTAAAGTGGTGAAAAATAGCACTTTGCTCTGAAAAAGAAATGGAATATTTTTGAGAATAAGAGGATGAGAGGAAGGAGAGATGTTATGAAGGGAAGCCAGGTGTGATGGTGCATGCCTGTAATCCCAGTGGCTCCGGAGGCTAAGGCAGGAGGATTGCAAATTCAAAGCCAGCTTCAGCAATTTAGGGAGACTTTGTCTCTAAATAAAATATGAAAAGGTCTAGAGATGTGGCTCAATGGTTGAATGTTCCTGGGTTCAATCCCCAGTACCACCACCACCACCAATAACAACAACAATAAAAAGAGATGTTATGAAGGGAGAATTGATGTTATTACATTCTTTTAAAGAAGAACTAATCAAGTTAATGGAGTAAATGCTTAAATTAAGGCCATCGGACTGGCTTAAACATGCAGAATATACACTAAAATTACTTGGAAAAAGTGAATGAAAATAGAGTTTACAAGTAACTTGAACTATGAACATCAGAAAAAACAAAGAGCATTGAGAATAACATGTTTATGTTTACTAGTTATGTTTTCTGTTTATGTTTCTTGAACCTCTGGGTCTTACTGTCCTCACTGTGAAATAAAAGTACTTCATGGATTTTCTGCAAGGATTAAAGAACATATTTGTAACATGTCTAATACTCTATGACTTACTGTACCTGTCACAGTGGTGTTTCTGTGCTTCTTTAGTGTCTATTTTCCACCTTAAGGCTCCTAGGTTTACTTTGACATCTGTGTGTAAAACCCTTCTATTTTTGATATTGTCACTTTCAGGAATACACATTCTCTGCTTCTCCAATCTAAATTAGCTGACTTCTGGGAAGTTATTGTTGAAAGAGCAATTTATCATTTGGGGGGGAGCAGAAGCAAAACTGCAATAGCTTGAATAAATAGGAGAAGAAAAGACAGAATGTGTAATTGTTCTTACTATAGCACATTTTCACCTACTTTAATTGTGTATTTATTTCTGTGATTATATTTTTTTTTTTTTCTTTTTTTGTACCTCTGTCTCTTCTACTGACAAAAAGCCAGCACCTAACAGTGCCTGAATAGTGAATGCTGGGACATAGTATGGGACATAGTAAGTAAATAAGCATTTATTATCCTCTGCTTCACTGTGTAACTCTATGTCAGGAATTCAGAAATGCATAGTTGCATGGTTTTGATTCAGTGTTTTCCTTAAGGTCATAGTGAAAATGACAGCAGGAGCTGAAGTCATTTTAAGTCCAGCTGAATCTGAAGGATCTACTTCCACCATGGTTCATTTATATGTCTCTCAGTTGATGCTGGTTATTGGCAGGAACTCTCAATTTCTTCCCAGGTTGACACTCCCATGTGCTGCATTGATGTCCTGATGTCATGGGGCCTAGCTTTTTCAGAGCTAACAGTTTAAGAGAACAAGGTAGAAGCTGCAAAATCTTCTGTAACTCATACTTGGAAGTTACACACTGTTGTTTCTGCAGTGTCCTTGTGTTTACGTAGACTAGCCCTGTTGTGGAAGGCAGTAGCACAGGGGCATGAATACCAGGAGCCAGGTTCATTGAAGGACATCCTAGAGACTGTCTACCACTGATGCTGTGTGGAATTACAGGGAGTAGACCAGGAATGATTAAGACAATTGCTGAATAGTGTTGATGGATGATCTGGCTTATGTAGGAAAACATTCATTTGCTTTGGCAGCAGTCAGTACTGCTGATTACATGATTTTTTTCCCCCTTCGTGGCACAGGAACAGAATCAGAGAAAACAGATGTTGGATTTATCTAGGAATTAACAAGTCATTACAATGGAAAGTCATGACCTTGAAATATGGAAAAATATGTCTAAATTCAGCAATTTGTGTTTGTTTTGTTTGGTGCCTGGTAGAGTCTTTGTCAAAAGCATGTGCTTTTAGAGATGTAACTTCATCTTAACTCTGGTGCAGGAAACTTACATTGGCTCTGAGAAAGTTATAACCAGTAACTTTTGGTGTGCTTTGCTTTGTGCCTGTTGCTCTGCTATATGATTTTGACACAGATTATCTTATTTAATCATCACAACCCAAGAAGTTAATTAACCTTATTTTAAGAATAAATTCTGGGTACAATCAAGAAATAACACAAATATTAAAGTCCTGGATGCAAACTCAGGCCATCTGATATCAGAACCTGAGCTTTTAAGTTATATTTTCCTACCTCTGCTTCACTATGTAATTGAATGTGGAGATACTCAACTTAAAATACTACAGAAGCTGGATTTAGATTGTGCATACAATGTTATTTTACCTATCACAGAAACAGAAACTACATCAAAATTTGAGAGATTTCTTCCATCTCTAATATTTTAGTACTTTTCAGATATTCTACAAACAGGTTCTACTTAGAAAGAAAGGTTATTTTAAAGAAGCAATTCCATCCTGAAGGTTGATATTCAAGTTTGTAAACTGAAAACTGTATTTAATGGGATTTTTTAATATTATGGTTACAAACTTTCAGCACATGTCCTGGTCATCAAAAGTTTGCATATTTTTTGAAATTTTGAATTTCAGCAAGGACTCATTCCCTTGAGATTGGAGCAGTTCAACTATGATAAGTGAGTGTAGTCTCCTTTTGTCCAGTTTTAGTTCAGTTCAGTTTGTGCATATAAAGTTTGAATACTTGTAGCTAGATCAGCAAAATTTGGTTGCCTCTGGTTTTAAAGGCTGAGTAGATGGACTGAACACCAACTTCTGGATAAAATAAGTTTCTTTATATCAAAGTAATTTGAAAGATGTATTTAGTATCAAACAAAAAATAGTCTCAAATTTACCATAGTATAATCTACAAAAAATTGCAACTACATAAATGATCACACTTCCTATACCATAATGTTGATATGGAATTAGCATATTGCACTAACTTTCCAGTTTGTATCCCATGTCTCAGCAACAAACACCACCAAATTAACTGTGAAAGGGCACATTTGTTTTCCCAGATTCAGACAACAAACATTGGGATCATAATGAAAAACTTTAAAAATGTTGTGCCTTATAAAAAGTCTTTACTTTGAAGGGTTACAGGGAGTGTCCCTGTAGGATCACAGACACATACACTTTTCTCCCCCTCAGTATCTGTGTGCTCTAGTGTATGTTCAAGTTACCAGCAACCTCCAACTTTCTAGACCCACTAATCAGTTCTTGGTCCTATTGCTCAACCTTTTAGTAGTATTTAACTCTAGCTGATCTTCCTCCAGTACTACTCCTTGGAATGCTTGCTTCACTTAGCCTTGGGCTACCAAACTTTTTCTGGTTTTCCTTTCTTTCTAACTCTTTTTTTTTTCCTCTGTCTCAGTTTCTGACTTGTTTTCCTTTTAATTTCTAATTTTTGCTAGATAAAATAAGTTTCTTTATATCAAAATAATTTCAAATATGTCTTTAGTATCAAACAAAAATAGTCTCAAATTTACCATAGCATAATCTATGGTGTAATTGAATGGAATTAGTCTTAAGAGCTCTTTTTCCCTATTTGAATTTACTCTGTAGACAATCTCATTTAGTTCCTTCAGCTTTATATACCATTGCATATGCTTACGCTTCCAGATTTATACCTTTAGCTCAACCTCTTCTCTGAGCTCTAGCCTTATACAGTTAATTAGATGTTTGACATAAACACTTGACCACATAATGAGAATCTCAAACTTAACAAGTCCAAAAAAAACTTAAAGTGCCAGGCACAGCAGTGAATGTATGTAATCCCAACAACTCCAGAGGCTGAGGCAGGAGTATCCCAATTTTGAGACAAACCTTGGCATGTTAGCAAAACCCCATCTTAAAAACAAAAAAGGTGGGCTGGGGATGTGGCTCAAGCAGTAGCGCACTCGCCTGGCATGCGTGCGGCCCGGGTTCGATCCTCAGCACCACATACAAACAACGATGTTGTGTCCGCCAATAACTAAAAAATAAATATTAAAATTCTCTCTCTCTCTCTTCTCTTTCTCTCTCTTTAATATATATATATTATAGAAAAAAATATTTTTTCTATATATATTATAGAAAAAAAACAAAAAAGGCTAGGGATGTGGCTTAGTGGTAGAACTCTTCAGATTCAATCCCCAGTATCATCAAAAAGGGGAAAAGAAAAAAGGTGGGGGTTAGCGAGGAGTCACTTGATTAGCACTCTACTGGGCAACTTTCTCTTGTCTTCTCTGAAAATAGTATTATCATCCACACAGTAGATGCAAGAGATAATCTAGGAGTTATCTTTGATTCTGCTCTCCACCCCCTCACTTCTACCTTCATTTAGCAAGTCTTGTTGGCTCTACCTTCAAATGACATTCCAAGTCTAGCATTATTCATCTCTGCCACTTCACCTAGATTACTGCAGTTGTTTTCTACTTGGCCTCTACTTCTACTTTCTACTTTCCCCCTCTTATTTCATTGTAACTAGAGTAATCTTTTCAAATATTATTTATTCTTAGTAATTATCTTGATTATCCACCAAAGGCTTCCCCTCATATTTAGAATAAGTCTTAAACTTCTTACCACAATTTACAGACTATCATCTGATCTTTTCCTCTCCTACCAACCTCTTCACTTACCTATCATTACCTCACTTTTCTACACTAGCCAGACTGACCTCCTGGCTCTTCCTGGAATACAGCGCACTCCAACCTGCCCTGTCAGCTTTTGCACTTGCTATTTTCTCTACCTGAGACACTCTGCAGAGCTTCATATGGCTTATTCTCTCACATTAATTCTCTGTTCAGATATCATCTTTTCTTTCACAAAGCTTATTACATCCAGTCATTCTGTTAGATACCTGTTTCTTTTTTTTCTTTTAATAAATATTTAATGAAATACAAATAGACTATAAGGTACAATAGACCTACTTGTTTCTTTATCATCTCTCATCTCTTTTCCACTGAAACAAGCTCCCTAAGGGCAGGGACTTTTCTCTTATTCACCAGTGTATCCCCAGTGTCTGAAATAGTACCTAACACATAACAGATGTATACAAAGATTATTGCATGAATCAATCAACCATTTTACTGAAACAGCTGTCAGACTTAATAACAAGTTAAATATCTTTCTCTGGCAGAATCTCCCATGACCTCTCTCCAGTACTTGATACTTTTGTAACCCCCACCTTTAATACTGTATGTCTATACAGCCAACCCTCTGCCATGTCACTGTGTTATACAGCATATCCTATAAATTGTCAAATACTGCTCATTCTTCCTTTGCATGTTGCCTTTTAAATCCATGCCTCCTCTATCTTCTTTGCTGCCTAGTTGAAACCTTTGTTATCTTACTACTTCATTATAGAAACCTCCCAGCATGTCATTTTAAATATGTCTTCCACATTATTATCAAGACGAACTCTTTAAAACTATACATATTATTTATCTTGGTATTTCTTGTAGCATCTAGCACTTTTTTAAAAATAGTAAGCACTCAGTGAATGTAGAATCAATAGTTCTGTTTCTGGAAAGTAGAACTTGTAGGCCATATAATTATTTTAATGGCTATAATTCTTTCATTCCTGTTTTTAGAAAAGCGGTAGCAATTCTTTGTTGACCATTAAGTGACTATAATTACATCATGTATTATTACAGCAGTTCATAGTAGAGTTTTGTGTTCTGACTTAGTAGAATTAAAGTAATATCTTCTATTAAAATGATTCTTTCTTTTCTCTTAAGCTGAAGTCTCCAGGGAATATTGAATCGCTGAGGAATTTGGGAAAAGACAAGCCGAAGTTCCCATTCCATGGATCCTTTGGGAGCACCTTCCCAGTTTGTGGATGTGGATACACTACTAAGTTGGGGCGACTCATATGAAGATGAATTAAATTCTTCTGATATTACAGCTGAAACATTTCAGGAAGATAGTATTAGGTCACCTTTTCTTTATAATAAGAATATCAATGGAAAAGTGGTTCTTTGGTAATTCTTTGATTATATCATATTATACTGTGATTAATACTTTCTCATAATTTCTTCTAAACTCCTTTTAAGTAAGCTCTAGCATTAAAGTATTGCCTTACATATACATATACAGCTTTATTGATAAAATTGATGTATAATAAACTGCACATATTTAAAGTTTACAGTCAGGCATGGTGGTACACATCTATAATCCCAGTGGCTTGGGAGGCTGAGGCAGGAGGATCATGAGTTCAAAGCCAGCCTCAGTAATATGAAGCACTAAGCAATTCATTGAGATCCTATCTCTAAATAAAATACAGAACAGAGCTGGGGATGTGGCTCAGTGGTTAGGTGCCCCCTCAGTTCAATCCCTAGTACCCAAAGATAAATAAACACATAAATAAAGTTTACAGTTTAATAAGTTTTGACATGTGCATCTGTGAAAATATCACCACAATTAAGATAGCAGATATACCCATCAACTTAAAAAGTTGTTTTTTTGTTCCTTTGTAATCATGCCCATCCCTGTCTGTACACCCTTGCATAGTTAGTGATCTTCCTATCATATTTTAGTTTGAATGTTATAGAGTTTTGTATAAATGTAACCATGTGTTTTTTTGAACTGACTTCTTTCATTCAGCATAATTATTTTTAAGTTTAGGTAGGTCGGCACATATATTAGTATTAGTTAATTGCTTTAAAAAACCTTTATTGAAACACAGTTCAATGCCATATAATTCACCAATTTAAATTACATAATCTAGTGATTTTTAGTATATTTGTGGAGATGTACCACCTTCATCTAGATAGTTTTTTATTAGCCCAAAGCGCTCTCTCAATATCTCAATTTTAAGCAACCACTGATTTACTCTCTACTTATTTTGGACATTTGATAAAGGTGGAATCAATATAATAATATGTGGGCTTTTTTGTGACTTAGCATACTGTTTTCAATGTAGTACAAATTAGTACCTCATTTCTTATTTGTGGCTGAATAATATTGTATGGCTATACATTTTTTGATTAATTTTGGTTAAATTCCAGTTAATTTTTTGAGCCATCCATTTCCTTTTTAATACTGTTCAGTTTGTGGGCTAGCAAAAACATTTTTGAAAAGTGAGCAAAGATAGAATGTTTCAAGATAATAAGAAACTAGATCTCTTAAGCTCTCTCTTCTTCCCCCTTTTGCTTTTTTATTTCCTCAGGAAAGGAGATGTAGCATTACTGAACTGTACAGCCATTGTGAATACCAGCAATGAAAGTCTCACAGATAAGAATCCTGTGTCAGAAAGTATCTTCATGCTTGCAGGGCCTGATTTGAAAGAGGACCTACAGAAACTTAAAGGTGAGTGGTGAGTGAATTGTCTAAGACATAAAATTGCTAATAAGGAAACATTTATTTTTATTTCCTTGTATCTTGAAGCGTGTTTAGTGTTTAAATGAGAAAATTTCATAGAACTAAATAAAAAGCTTTTGAAAGTCTCAAAATATATTAAGCAGGACCTAGAGATTTTACTACCAAATTTCTCTGTCTTGTCAGTGAATTTTTAAATGATAATCACTATAGCTAATTAGATCTTTGGTAGCAGTTTCCTGGTTATATATTTTCTTGCATTGATGGTTCTTATAAAACAACTATCCTGAACTGAAAATTTTTTTTATCATTATTTGATATCAATAAAGAAATTTTTTTTCTTTTATACTGGGGATTGAAACCAGGGGTACTTAACCACTGAGTCACATCCCAGCTCTTTGTTATATTTTATTGTGAGACAGTCTCACTAAGTTTCTTAGGGCCTCGCTAAGTTGCTGAAGCTAGCTTTGAACTTACCATCCTCCTGCTTCAGTCTCCTGAGTCACTGGGATTACAGATGTATGCCACAATGCCCAGCTGAAAATTTCTTACATACATTTTAGATACAGAGCATAGAGCATTACATTTCCAAAATGAAAATTTACTTAGTGATAAAATCAAAGTCTATGGCAAGAGCACATATATTCTCACTTAATTTGTATTTGATGCTTTTGTTTTTACTAGAACATGCTTCTGTAAATATTTCTTTGGAAATAGGAATAGGAGTAGCTGTATTTTTTCAGAAACTCATTTGACCTTGTTTGCATTAATTTCTTTTTGGGGCGGGCAAGGGAGTATCAGGGATTGAACTCAGGAACACTCAACCACTAGACCACATCCTCAGCCCTATTTTGTATTTTATTTAGAGACAGGGTCTCACTGAGTTGCTTAGTGCCTCGCTATTGCTGAAATTGCCTTTGAACTCACAATCCTCCTGCCTCAGCTTCCTGAGCAGCTGGGATTATAGGCATGCTCCACCACACCTGAACTGCATTAATTTTTTTAATTGCCACCCTAAAAGCCCTTCTTTAAAAAATATTACTTGAGTCCAACTTGAATGAAATTCTGTCTACCCATTTTATAAAAAGTGTTTTTGAAATACAGCAATAATTATTAAAATGTAAACAGCAAATCCTACCTATATAAAATCTTGCTTTCCTTGATGTCTATCCTTTAACAGTGACAACTGTTTTTTGATACAGTAACAATATTAGAATTTGAACAGGATTTCTTATAATGTTGGTTCCATGAAAAAAGTAATTTAAAAAAAAATAATTGTATTATCTGATCAAGAAAGTGAATCTTAACTGTGAAAGCAGAAGATGAAAAAAAAATCTTAATTAAATGATGAAACACAATGTCATAAAGAACATGTAGAAATTAGAAAGGATATTAAAGATAATAATAATATGTTCTTTGCTAAAAGTAACAGAAGCTGATCTGGAATAATTCCTAGCAATATGTGTGTGCATGTGTGTGTACACATACACTTAGAACTAGACTTACAGATAATAAAGAAAATGAGAAAAGTTAATATAGTTACAATATTTAATTTATTGTTCAGGTATACAAATAAAGCCTCAATATTTAATTGAGTGCGTTTGGGAGTCTTTAAGCTGGCATTCATATGATAACTCTGCCCTTTATTGCATGACTTAAGACCAATTACTTCACTGCTAAGTCTGAATTTTCTCATGTCTAAAATAGGGATAATAATAGTATTTCTGCCTCATACAGCAAGAGCTTAATTAATATTTGGGAGTGTAAAAATTAACATCACGAAGACTAAATGAAATAATGGATGTTAAAAGCTAGGCGTGTACATCCTAAATGTTCAAAAAGTATCATTGTTCCTGTTGGCTGTTAGGTCTCAATTGACTTGTTTAATAAATCAGTGCAAACCTGAGAAGAGGTATCAGTAATGCACTGAAGGGTTGAATACTTAATTCTGTTCCCTTTTTACATTTTTATTAATAAATAAATGATTATAGAATATAACTCATCCAAAATTTTTAGATGAGAGAAAACATCAGTAGATTAACCCATTGATGAAATCAGATCCTCATGATCCAATCACTTCCCAAAAGCCCCATCACTAAACATTAATTACTACACTGGGGACCAAGCTTTCAACACATGAACCTTGGTCCTTACATTTTGATCCTTACATTTGTGCAGTTTGATCCTTACAAATGTGCACTTACCTTTTACCTCAGTAGGACATTCTAGATCCAAACTATAACATATTGCTTCGTATATGAGCTAGAATTTGGAGAGAAACAAGTGAAATGTCACTGCTAATCTTTAATACTCAGATACTCAACTTGTCATTGTACCACTGTTCCTCAGCACTACATAGACAAGGACAGCATGCTGGGCAGAGTTATGGCCCCAGGTAAAGTTATTTAGTGGATTTATATTTATTTTACAAGAATTAAGAATACTTTCAGGACTGTGTTTTAAATGTTTATAGTGATGTTTAAAATTCAAGCTTTAGGATTAGAAAAAATTGGGACTAGAAAGAAAGGGTGAAAGCTGGGGAAGCAATGTAGCAGGACTTACCATAATTCAGGGTCCAGAGTTTCTGCTAACAATTATTAAAGATTTCAAGAGGAAAAGTGTGATTCCAAGCCAGAATATTCATGACACTTAAAACTTCTCTTTCTGAGCTCTGATCTGAGATTTCCAAGACTGACTCACCAAACTGAGTGTTCCAGTGTTTCAGTGCTTACTTGCTATTTTTTAAACAAAATAATACATTCCTATTACTTATTTTAATTATCATTTTCTAGTTATGCAAATAGTATTATGTAAATTGTATGCATACAAGCTAAAAATAACTAAAATCTCCACATTTACACCAACAGAGATAACCTCACTAACACTTTAGTGCAGATCCTTCTAGGTTTTTCTACATGTAGGTGTGGGTGTATACATACCTTGTATTTAGTAACCAAAGTAAAATGATTTTATGTATACTGTTCTCAAAGTAAGAATTATGTACAATTCATCCTCTTCAGCAAATGAATTCCACCTTTTAATTTCAGAAATTTCTAATTGATCAAAAAAATGTCCTCTGCAGCTGTTTTTAATCCAGAACCAAACTAGTATTCAGTACAGCACCACATATTGCATCTTTTTGTTATGCCCATTAATTTGTATGTGTGTGTTTAATTCAACAGTCCCCTTTTTATGTCACTGACTTGTTGAGTGAACTGGGCTAATTGTTTTCCAAAATATCCTGCCTTTTAGATTTGTCAGATTTACTTGAGGTATCACTTAGTTTGTATATCCTATAAATTGAAATTCATATCTAATGGAGTCAAGCATTTCATAGGTGATGTTGTGTTGTGTACTTAATGTTGGATGATATTAGAAGACATGTAAATCCTGATTGACCTGTTAATGATCCTTCACTAATACTAAAGTTGCTATCTGGATTGGGGTGATAGCAGTTTGATCCTTACATTTGTGCACTTACCTTTTACCTCGGTTACTGAAAACTAGTGTACAAAGGACAGTTTAATCTTTCACTTCCACAATAAGAAGTCAACTGGTAATGAAATAAAATCAACACTGTATTTTCTACATGCACCTGGAAACATAGATAAATATCATAAGGCACTTAAAAGGTTGAAAGTATTTATTCCTGGAAAATAGGAATTGAGATAGGCAAGGGCAGGGCAGATGTGGCCTTTAGACTCTACGATTGTTCATTTCCCCATCATATAATCACCTGTTGGTTTTAGTACCAAATTGATAATTTTTGTCTGAATCAATACTTATTAAGCCCAAGAAGTTTTGTTTTCAATCATTTCATCCATGTTTACTACCTGGTATTCTATAAAGTAGAGCTTTTCCTCACTAACCAGTATTATTTGATTACTCTTGAGTTACAATTTGTGTTAGAGAGAGAGGATAAATGCTTGGTTTTTTTAATTATCAATTTGAAAAATAAAGGATTAGTTCAATAACCGCTTCAAATGATGACAAATGAGTTTTTCAAACTGGCTTTATCTTAAATTTTGAGTATCATTTTATGCCAACAGCTTTTCATTGATCAACATATATAGTTTTAAAAGTCAGTGAAGTTTGTGTTCTATATGAACAAAAGCCACTCATTTGCTCTGCCCTTGCCTATCTCAATTCCTATTCTCCAGGGATAAATACTTTCAACCCTTTAAATGCCTTATGTTATTTACCTTGTAATTGTCTGTTAAAACCACAGTGTTGATTTATTTCATTATCAGTGGGTTTCTCATTGTGGGAGTGAATGATTAAACTGTCCCTTTTCGTGCCCCCTTTTATGTATACATATAATACAGATTCTCTTTCCCATTACCAGCATCTTACCAAATTTTAATATACACAGTTGTTCAGAACTGATTAGAAAACAGATTAGTATTCTTTTTATTCAACTTCTTTTTCCTTTAGGTTATTAATGGATTGATTTTTATGTAAATAATTGAAGATTGTTTATTATTTTAGTTACTTATTATTTATTATTATTGATCCACTGACTGAACCCCAAACATTCAATACAAGCAGAAACCTCCTCTCAATAAAGTCAAACACTTGAATTTTTCTTTCAGTCCATTTTTGTCTTGACAGGGTCCTTTTTCAAACCCTCCATTCTCCCCTCTCCTCTTTAAACTGCTCTCTATCCCTGCTCCATGCTTACTGTCCTGGAACTGTGTTTACCCTCATCCTAGGAAATCCTTTCTTCTGTTTAATGGATTGAATCCTTCATTTCCTAGATCTCTTGCCCTTTCCTACTTTAATGCACTCCTTCATTTTTGTCAGTAAGTCTGCCAGATTTCTGAGAAGATTGCAATAGGGAAGAATTGCTGAGATCTACCTTCAGACTTAATTGGTAATTTGGCTGGAAATAGAATTCTAATTCGGAAATTATTTTCCTGAATTTTGAAGGCATTTACTCTCTTGTTTTCTATTTTGGCTATTTCTGTTCAGAAATCTTATATGATATTCCTGATTCTTTGTATGTTATCCGTTTCTTTCTGAAAGCTCTGTGATCTCATCTTTATTTTTGACATGCTGAAATTTTACAGTGATGTGCCTTCATTTGGTTTGGGTATTCAGTGGGTTCTTTAAGTTTAAAATTTCATGTCTTTTGGTTCTGAGAAATATCTGCTTTATTTCTTTATTAATTTCTTCTGTGCTCTGTTCTCTGAAGAAATCCTGTTAGATATTATTTCTTATTTTATCTTCTAGTTTTATTATCCATTATTCCATATTTTTTGTTAATTCCTGAATAATTCCCTGAACTTCAGTTTTAGCTTTTTCTGTTATCACAGTTTTCACTTGCTATAAAAGTTATGTCAATCCTATCTCATATTTTCTGATATTCTTTTTTTATAGGATTCTGTTTTTGATTCAGAGGTACTGTATCTTCCTTTACCTCTTTGAGAGTAGTATTCATGGTATAAGATTTAGGGGTTGTTTTTTAAGTTTCCTTTCCTGCTTTATGAATTTCTTGGGCATTACTTTGTTTTGTACCCCTTCTGTTTTACTTAGAGGCTGTCCTCACTTCTTTGTTGACCTACCAAAGGCTAAAGGCTAACTAAAAGGCTAATGGGAAGTTTTTGTGCAAGAACGTCTTAATGTGTTCAAGCTGGTTTAACAAAGTTATCACAGAGGGATGACTCATAAACAGCAGATATTTATTTTTCACCATTTCTAGAGGCTGAAGATCTGAGTTCAGGGTGCCGGCAATTCAGGCTCTGGTGGAGAGCTCTTCTGTATTGAGATTGCAGACTTCTCTTTGCATCTTCATGTGATGAAAAGAGGAAGCAAGATCTCTGAATACTTTTGAAGGATACAAATTTTATTATGAGGGCTCGACCCTCATGATCACATCTAATTACCTCCCAAAGACTTCATCTCCCAATACTATCACATTAGGGGATAGGGTTTCAACATATGAGTTTTGAGGGTATAGTAGCATTGAGTATCACAGTGGACAATGATTATTTTTAAGGAATCTTGAAGCAAATGATAGAGCAGAAGCCATATGGTTTTATTGGGGTACATTCTTCAATTATCACAATCTCTGAGTCCTTTAGGTTAGGCCTCATAATTTCCCAGAAAAGAATGCTCAAGGGATTACAAGCCTGAGTGTTAACTTTTAGAAAACAGGGGCAGAGGCCTTGACATTTTACTAATACTAATAAGTATTACATTTTACATTTCCGCTTTTTAACTGTGCTTGAGGTTCTGGAACCCAGAAACTCTCTAGTTTAGCATCTCCAGAGAATAAACTCTCTCCCTGCTGCCATGTTGGTAACACAATCATTGCCTTGCTGTGCTATTGGAGGAGAGGGTTTGTTGGAGATTTTACTGATTTTATGCAAACCTCTAACCCTAATGTCTTTTTGGTCCCACTTCAATGCATAGTCTATAAAAGTATGTAGGGCCTCCTCCTTTTGAATCTTTCTACTGTTCTCTGGTAATAACAAGACTAGTAATAGCTACTGCTTGCATGCACTTGAAATATATTAACTCAATCCTGTGAAATACTACTAATATCTCCCTTAAATAAGAAATGATGAGTCAAGCACCTGCTCACTGTTAACAATAGAAACATCATGGACTCAGGATTTAAATCACAGCAATCTATCTTGAATCCAGTATTGCTTTTCTGTACAGATCTGCTTTGCTTCATATTGGTTACCCCATTATTAGGTTTCTCTATGTAAGTCAGTCAGTCATTCCTAGTCCATTGACTCTGCCCTTTAAAAAAATTTTTTATTTATATTTGACAGCGGAATGCATTACAGTTCTTATTATTAGAACACAAATTTTCATATCTCTGGTTGTATACAAAGTATATTCACACCAATTCGTGTCTTTATACATGTACTTTGGATAATAATGTCCATCACATTCCACCATCATTTCTAACCCCATGTCCCCTCCCTTTCCCTCCCACGCCTCTGCCCTTTCTAGAGTTCATCTGTTCCTCCCTTGCTCCCTGTCCCTATCCCACTATGAATCAGCCTCCTTATATCACAGAAAACACTTGGTTATTTGGAATTGGCTAATTTTACTTAGTATTGTCTTCTCTAACTCCATCCATTTACCTGCAAATGCCATGATTTTATTCTCTTTTATTGCTAAATAATATTCCATTATGTATATATGCCACATTTTTTTAATCCATTCATCTATTGAAGGACATCTAGGTTGGTTCCACAGTTTAGATATTGTGAATTGTGCTGCTATAAACATTGATGTGAGTGTGTCCCTGTAGTATGCTGTTTTTAGGTCCTTTGAGTATAGACCAAGGAGAGGGATAGCTGGGTCAAATGGTGGTTTCATTCCCAGATCTCCAAGGAATCTCCATACTGCTTTCCATATTGGCTGCACCAATTTGCATTCCCACCAGCAGTGTATGAATGTACCTTTTTCCCCACATCCTTGCCTACACTTATTGTTGTTGGTCTTCATAATAGCTGCCATTCTAATTGGAGTGAGATGGTATCTTAGAGTAGTTTTGATTTTTATTTCTCCAATTTCTAGCAATGATGAACATTTTTTTTCATATATTTGTTGATTGATTGTATATCCCCTTCTGAGAAGTGTCTCTTCAGGTCCTTGGCCCATTTATTGGTTGGGTTATTTGGTTTTTCGGTGTTTAACTTTTTGAGTTCTTTATATAGCCTAGAGATTAGTGCTCTATCTGATGTGTGAGAGATAAAGATTTGCTCCCAAGATGTAGGCTGTCTATTCACCTCCCAGAATGTCTCTTTTGCTGAGAAGAAACTTTTTAATTTGAGTCCATCCCATTTATTGATTTTTTTATTTTAATTCTTTCACCAAAGGAGTCTTATTAAGGAAGTTGGGGCCTAATCCCACATGATGGAGATTAGGGCCTACTTTTTCTTCTATTAGATGCAGGGTCTCTGGTTGTATTTCTAAGTCCTTGATCTATTTTGAGTTGAGTTTTATGCATGGTGAGATTTTATTGCATATGGATTTTCAGTTTTCCCAGCACCATTTGTTGAATAGGCTGTCTTTTCTCCAATGCATGTTTTTGGCACCTTTGTCTAATATAAAATAATTGTAATTTTTTGGGTTAGTCTCTGTCCCATGCTGTTTTTGTTATTATTGCTTAAAATTTTGATGATGCTTCTCTGCTTCATGTTCTCTCCATTTCCTTAGTGCTTATACTTATTGTATTACTTCACTGTCCGAAGGAACAGAGGTAAATGCTTATTTTTGATCCATATTTTTGACTGAAATTTCTCAAAGTTCTTGTTACTTTCTCTGTTTTATGCTTTGGTTTATTGTTTTCCCTAATACCTCCTGACTTAAGTATATTTCCATTGTTCCCAGGTTGCCGAACAGGCGAAGCAAAATTGACAAAAGGATTTAATCTAGCTGCCCGGTTCATCATTCACACAGTGGGACCTAAGTACAAGAGCCGCTATCGCACAGCAGCTGAAAGTTCCTTGTACAGCTGCTACAGAAATGTACTTCAGCTGGCAAAGTATAGTCTACTCATTTCCTAGACATAGCATGCCATGCAGTTTTAAAAGCCATGGATTTGAAGATGAACCTAATTATTGAAATCAAACTTTGAAGGACTTTGATAATTTAGGAGGACTTGAAGATAGATCTTTTGAAACAGCAGGATAAATGGGGCAAATTTGAGTGACTTGGGAATTTAACCTATTCCCATTTTATTCAGTCTGTACTTGAATTGTGTAGCCCCCAAGGAGAGTGATTAAATTATATATTATTGAATAGTACAATTGGGTTAATTATTACAGTAAATTTGTGAGAAGGTAGGAAAGAAGAAATTGATTTGCATTTTGAAATTAGTTATGAATTGTAACGTATTATAAATGCTTGTAATGCAACTTTTGTATTTTCTGTTTGATTGCAGAGAGCAGTCAATGTCTTCTGTTGGATTCTGTGTCATCAATTCTGCAAAACGAGGTTATCCTTTAGAGGATGCAACACACATAGCACTTCGTGAGTAATATTGGATAGTCTACATAAATCAAGTCTTAAAATATTTTTATCACTGTTTAACTAGTTACAGCCAAAGGAGTTTAGTTGATTAAATGATCGTGGCACCCTAGAAGAAAGTTTTTATTGACAGGTTGTGGAGTTCTCAATTTACTTTCTCAGTAACATTTTTATCCATTTGAATAAGAGCCCAGAAAACTCACTTATTAAATTCAAAAGTGATACCAAATTAGGAAATATGACCGACGCTTTGGGTTTGAATCAGATTCAGAATAATCTTAACAGACAGGCTGCAACAATGAATTCAAAATACTTCATATTTGTATAGCACTTTGCAATTTATTTATTTATTTATTTTTTTATTTTTTTTATTTTTTATTTTTTATTTTTTTTAATTTTTTATTGTGGGTTGTTCAAAACATTACAAATTTCTTGACATATCATATTCCACACTTTGATTCTAGCGGGTTATGAACTCCCACCTTCACCCCATACATAGATTGCAGATTCACATCAGTTACACATCCATTGATTTACAAATTGCCATTTGCAATTTAAACAGTAGCATTTGAGTGTGCTATTGAAATATAAAACCCTGCATTTAGATTTAAAAGAGAATGGATCCCACCAAGCATAGTGGCGCATACCTGTAATCCCAGCAGCTTGGGAGGCTGAGACTGGAGGATTATGATTTCAAAGCCAGGTTCAGCAAAAGCGAGGCTCTAAGCAACTCATTGAGACCCTGTCTCTAAATAAAATACAAAATAGGGCTGGGGATGTGGCTCAGTGGTTGTGTGCCCCTGAGTTGAATTCCCTGTAAGCCCCCCCACCACCACCAAAAAAAGAAAGAATGGGTCCAATCAATATGAGCCAAAATGTAATACATATGCTATAAAAATATTGTGTTGGCCTCGGGTATAGCTCAATGGTAATACCAGAGCTTGAGATGAAACTTAATTCTCTGCTTCTGGTAGTGGGTAGGGTCTGCTTATGCTGCATGCAGGCCTGGGCAGCTGAGAAAGTCTGTTTTAGTGTTAGCAGCTAATCAAGGCAGAGGATGCCACCAGTGTTGGCTCCAAGGGTCACAGCTAGGCACTTTGAATCTTAATCCATAAGCAGCACAGACCCATCACAAGTGTTTAATAAGAAGTTAACATAACTCAGGCAACTGTGAATGTATAGTTTTAGAAATGAAAAACAAAGTGAACATTTAGGAGCTTATTTGCCAAAACATCTGCTGAGCATTAAGAGCCTGAAAGCAGTTAAAATGGAGAAGGTGTAGGTATTAGAAATATTAGAAGTAAATAGAATTTCATGATCATGTGAACCATTTGAAAATGCAGGATGAGGAAAGAAGTGAAGGAAATGTCAAAGCAAATTCAGGATTCTAGTTGGTTGTTGATGTGTAACTCAGATAAGGAATACAGGGAGAAGGCAGAGGATTCTAGTTGGTTGTTGATGTGTAACTCAGATAAGGAATACAGGGAGAAGGCAGAAGTCAAGATTTGGACACACCAAGTTTGAGATATCTGTGGGTTATTGGGGCAGATATATCTAATAAGCCATAGGTAATTCAGATTCTTTTGTTCAAATAACAGAATCTGAAGATTTGGGAGCCATCAGCACCTGAGGTAAACCTAACCAATAATAGTGAGTTGAGGAGAATATGTATATCAAGAAAATAATGTTGTAAAAAGTATTCTGTAGGGCATGGGGATTAAAGAATAAAATCTTGTTCTTCAGTAAATGAAAAACTGAAAAAGGCCATTATGTCTTGTTATTAGAAAGTTGATAGAGAAACATCAGTATAACACAAAATTAAGAAAAAAATTTAGCTTTTGTTTTGTGAAGAGATAAAGAACTAAATAGGGCATCTGATACTGTGACTGAATGAATGGAAGGACACTTGTACTTTCCACTTGTGCTAGATCATTCTGATCAAAGAGAGAGGCCCCAGGGAATAAGAGAACTATGCTGCATAAGGTAGAATTGTCTGGAGTTGGCATCTTCCCTGGCCAGGCACTGTTACAGACACTGCAAGAAGAGCAGTAAGGAGGTATGCTGTTATGGAGCTTTCATCCTGGTGGACAATGATTGAGGGCAGAGAGGATATACAGTAAGCAAGGACCTCCATAAAATGCCTCTGGAAAAAAACAAATCAGAAAAGTTTTTATGAAGGGCAGTCCAGGCAGGCTTCTCTGGTAAGGGGTCACCGAGCAGACTGAATTAAGTGAGGAGAATCCCTTATAAAAATAAAACTTTGAAGAGTTTACTTTTTATTTATGCACAGATAATTTCTTATTGAATAATCTTTCTTTTTCTCTTCATTAGGCACTGTAAGGCGGTTTCTGGAGATTCATGGAGAAACCATTGAAAAAGTAGTATTCGCTGTCTCTGAACTGGAAGAGGTAGTTTTCTAATTATTTTGCATTGTTTAAATCTTATTTGTACTTGCATTTGCCTTTGTCTTGTCATTGTTTATTTACTGAATTTTCAGCAGATAAATCCTAATTGTGTAGATACTGGTCAATGGGACTTACCATCATTTATTGAAGATTATGTTGGAAACTAAAGTAAGTCAAGAGGAGCTTTTTGTTTGTATTTTTCACTGTGAGGGCAAACTTCACAGCTGGTGCTGTTCTGTTTGCTGCCTCTGTTGGCTTTCAGGACACTGCTTTGTTACCTGAGCATTGGATGCCTAGGCAGCATAGCTGGAAAACTACTGCTGTGCTGGTGAGGCTCTGGTGTGTCCTGGCCTGGAAACAGGTTACAGCCTGGTGTGGTGGCTGGCATTAAGTTGTGAGATTTTTATGTTTTATTGAATGTAGTTAGATTTAGTGTGTTTCAGTTTAATTCAGAACTGATTGGGCAAATCAAATCTTTGTTGTATTAAACTTTATTTAGCTGTCTAATTCAGCTTCTAATATTTCTCAGTTTTGTTTCTTCAGGCAAGTTACTGTGCCTCTCAGTGCTTTGGTAAAATAAGAAAGGAAAAAAATAGGAATACTATTGGTTGGTTTGCACATGCAAGATGTGTTACATACAAGTAAGTTGTTTACTATTTTAAGAATTAGCTTCCCGTGGGAGGGGCAGTCTTACCCAGCCAACAAGCTTTTTAAGATGTGAAAACATCATAAAATATAAAAAACAAAAACAAAATAAACAAACATGGTTAATACTCATTTTTCAAAGAAGATGTACAAATTACCAGTAAGTAGTGTAAAAATTCTCTGTGACATTAACCTTTAGGCAAGAGCAAATAAAAACCAGAGTGAAATGTAACTTCACACTCATTAATATGGTTATAATTATGAAGACAGATGATAACAAGTGCTGGCAAAGATGTAGAAATTGTAATTCTCAAAGATGGCTACTAGAAATGTAAAAATGGTATCACCGCTTTGAAAAAATAGACTGATAGTTCCTTTAAAAGTTAAACATAGATTTACCATATAATGCCACTAATCCTCTCTTCATTATATAGAGAAGAGAATTAGAAACACAGATCCAGATAGAAATGGAGGTGTACATCTTTAAATTCCAAATTACTTAGGAGGCTGAGGCAGGAGGGTCAATAAGTTTAAGGCCAGCCTCGGCAACTTGGTGAGATCCTTTCTCAAAATAAAAAACAAAAAGGGCTAGAAGTATGGCTCAGTGGTAAGAGCATCACTAGATTCAATCTCCAGTACTACAAATATATCCACACAAAATTTTATATACAAATACTCATAGCACTATTATTCATAATAGCCAAAAAAGTAAAAATTCACATCTTGAGTTAATAAACAAAATGTAGTAAATACATAAAATGTTTTTCTGTCATAAAACGGAATAAACCTTGAAAATATTGTGCTAAATGAAAGAAACAAGATGCAAACAGCCATATACTGTATTCCATTTGTTTGAAATGTTCAAAATAGGCAAATCTATACAGACAAAAAGATTAGTAGTTGCTAGGGATTGGGGAAAGGAGGAATGGGAAGTAATTGCTAATGGATTTTGGGGGTGGTGATACTGTAATTAAATTAAATTTGGTGGTAGTAATTATATAACTTTGTGAATATATCAGTGCTGAATTATATATTTTTCAAGGGTTACTTTTATGGTATGTCGATTATATCTATTTTTTTTAAATGAAAAGCATATAAAACTGGTATTCCTAGTCCTCTTACTTGCTTATTTAAAAGATGATGTCCTATGTGCAGCACAATAAGCAAACCAAAAGATGATTTTTTGAATGATTTCATTGTTCCTTAGGCTATGCCATCATTTATTTTCTTACTACTTGAATTATTCTTTTTAAATATAGTTAGGAATAATTGATGAATAATACTGAGCAATGATAAAATAATTCCTAGGGTGATAAAAAAGCAAGATGCTTCAAGATATAAGAAAAATAAGAACATCAATGCCTGTAAGGTACTGTGGGTTTAAATTGAGTGCAGTGGACCAACCCATATGGAAATTACAAAGTAGGATGAATTTTATTCCATTTCTTTTTTAAATAAGAAGTTTTAAAAACTAAAAAAGAATAAAAATTATGAAATAACAGACTTTTACAAATAGTTAGAAGTATTACACACACACACACACACACACACACCCCTCTCAGAAACTATACCTGGGTCCACTGGAGCCTGAGGCATACTGAACTTAAGGAAGTAGCATCTCAGCTGAGTTTTGAAAGACACTTATCTCTAGAAATGAAGGTGGAGGTGAGGACACGAATGGTGGGACTTATACATTGCAGGTTTGATGGCCTAGAATTGCCCACTGGCTAACAGTTGTTCTATCTAATACAAGAAGTGATTGAGGGTCCTAGACCACATGCATTGTGAGCTCAGAAGTTGTAAGGTCTTTAACCTTGTTTTTTTTTTTTTTTAAGAGAGAGAGAATTTTTTTTTTTTTTTTTTTTTTTTTTGGTAGATGGACACAACACAATGCCTTTATTTTTATGTGGTGCTGAGAATCGAACCCGGGTCGCGCCCATGATAAGCGAATGCTCTACCGCTGAGCCACAATCCCAGCCCCAGGGTCTTTATCCTTGATGAAGACTGTCTTCACCACATACAGACAGCACTAAGCATTGCTCAGGTTGCTTCATTACTTCATTATTTTTTACAGAATGCTTTCCTTTTCTGATGCAGGCTACTTACCAAAAGCTGCTACCTCTGTACTTCCCAAGGTCACTAAAGGAAGAGAGTCGATCATTGCCATACCTTCCTGCAGATATTGGAAATGCAGAAGGGGAGCCTGTGGTACCTGAACGGCAAATTAGAATAAGTGAAAAACCTGGTGCTCCAGAAGGTAAGTTCTAGAGTTCTATCTTTTCACTTTCCTTCTTAAAGAAGTTGTGTACTAATGAAGCACCAACCACCAAAGAGGTAGGAAGTCCAGTTTGACCTTTGGGAAACTCTCTATTAGCATGACCCTAAGATCAAGACCAATTTTGAAGTTTCCAGTCTTATTTTTAGTTAAAGAAATTCATTCTTTAAATTTACCCAAAACATTCTCAGACTAACAAAGTTTATAGTCTCATTAAGGACATTGGTGAGACAGTGAAGTACATTAACCATTAACATCTAAAAATTTTCAACAGCTTTAATAGTGTCCCTACATTTCATATGTAATGATAAATAATAAGACAGGACTACTATAATCATTTATTTTGTGTTGTCAGGTTTTGTGCTCAAGTAGTAATAGGAAGAGCATGTTGGGATGGGAGCCCTTCCGAATATTCAGTACTGACAGCTCATACGTACAAAAGGTCATAAATGCATTGTATGAAGATATGCTCTACACATTTCAATGCTGGGACCTGATCTTAAGAAACAGCAGCTTAGGGGATTACTGTAAGATACCTACCATGAACAATTTTGTAAAAACAATATAAACACCAAGTTAGAATCTGTAGAAAGCTTCTCAGCTCCTTTTTATCACATTATTACATCAAGTGGAGGGAATTACAAGTGGCCTCAAATCACAAGCTTTGCTGGACAAGTAGCTATGCACTTTGGAGGACCCACTAATAAGAGTAGGTCTTTGAAGTAAGGCCAGAGTCATTTAGAAATCCTCATCCACCACTATAGCATATAATTTTTCTTCCATAAAATGCATATAGTGAGATAAGGAGTAGGGAACAGCAAAACCAATTTGAAATGGCATGTCTGAATAGTAGATTAGAGTAACTCATTCGCCAAAAGGTTCCCATCTCAAAGAGGTTTAATTTGCACTTATATCTTAGAAAATATTTTTACTTTATAGAAGAGGCCTTAGTGTTCATAAATATTTTTTAATTACAGTGTTAGATGGGTTTCACACATATATGTATCTGACTGTACTTGAGGAGTTGAAGAAAGATTAATTTTGGGTAAGTTTTAATTAAAGTAGGCCCTTTCTTCTAAGTTGTTGACCAGTCACAGTTTGAATAGCAGTGAAGGGGAAGTAGAGAAGTCCCAGCTGATAGTCTACCAAGCTGAGATTCAAGTGGTGGCATTACCTTGGGAAATTGTATTGATCCAAGGTGTATTGATCTGTTTTTGTTATTAACAGGTCTAGTAAGACAGTGGCCACCACACCAAGAGATGATTGTTCTTTAGTGAGTGGCTTCTACTAGCCAAATTCATAAGGATCACATAGATAGATCAGAAAGTTTGCTTATTAATTTGTAGTAAGAATTATAACTCCTAAAAGCAAAAATCATTATTTTGGTATGACCAGCATAGAAATTACAACTGATACTAAATTACAACTGTAATATTTCTTAATGAATATGGATCATATCCTGTGATCCTGTTCATCCATCTTTGTTAGAGTGTTAGCTTACAAAAGGGTGGGGGTTATGTGCCAGTCAGTCAAATATGTCTACCTTTTGATGCTTTGGCATAAACTATCTTTGAAGCCAAATAGAGTCTAATTACTTCTTTTTGCTTATGATCACTTTCTACACTCATCTTGATTTGATTTCACATATTCCATTTCATTATTTCAGTTCCACAAATGCCTAAATCTTACTTCAGTTTCATTCTCAAAAACTAACATTAAGCCATTTTTTGAGTTCCCTAACAGTTATTCCAATCGTGGCATTCAGTCTGTTTCATTTACTGTCTAGTTTTGTCCTTGGCTCTCTGTTGATAGTAGGATTTTTGTTACAGACAACCAAGAAGAGGAGGATGAAGGCTTGGGAGTCGATCTGTCTTTCATTGGCTCTCATGCTTTCGCTCGAATGGAAGGAGATATTGATAAGCAAAGAAAACTGATCCTTCAGGGACAATTATCTGAAGCAGCCCTGCAGAAGCAGCATCAAAGAAAGTAAGGCAAACCTCTCTGGACTGTTAGACACATGAGGAGATGAGAAACAAGAAAGGGACCTGACATCTGCTGAAAGGTTTATATTCGTATATAATGTGTTCTCCTTATTCTTCCTGACAGTTCAGTGAGGAAGATACTATCCCATTTTGTAGATGCAGAGCTGAGCGTTAAGTAATTTATCATTGGTCACAGTTAACATGTGGTGAAGCCAGTGCTCAATTGCATTTCTGATTTCAGAGCTCCTGCTCCACCTGCACTAATTGTAATGTCTGCATGTGACGTTATAGTCTAAAAATAGAAATTAGGAAGAGAAAGGCAGTTGCAAAATTTTTTACTCTACTTTCTTTTAATTAAAGTTCTGTTGAACTTAATAAGAGTTTTATTTCTCCCCAACTTATCCCAAGGATCTTACAAACATCTAGCATATTCCATTGTTCCACATATTTCTAAAACTAGATGCAACTTTTGTACTTTTAAGCTTTTTCAAAGATTAATAGTCTTAGTAAAGCTAGCTGCTTTTTGAAAAATTTAAAAGAAAAAAATAATAAACTATAAATAACTACAGTTCATTACCTTATAGGGTAACATTTCACAAACTTAGAGAGCATTAAATAAGATAATATAATGAGTTTAATGCAGTACCTAGTATTTGTCAGGCTCTTAAAATTGGTCACTGCTATTCTCTTCAATACTGAACAAGTCATGGTATATTTTTCCTTTGAGCTTTGCTACTGGACTACTCTCATCCTTCAGAATCCTGTCCATTTGCCAGGCTTTAGTTCAGAAGCAGCTGCCTCTGGAAACTTTAAAGTCTGGAATAGATGTCTCCTCCTGTATGCTTTTTCATAGCTTATACTTACACTTACCCAAAGCATAGCATAGTATTTATTATACTGTTTTGTAATGATGTATGGATGTTGTTATCCTCAGTGTATAAAATGGGAGTTGAACTCAACGATCCCTGGAGACCCTTACATAATTAAAATTTTATGTCTCCTTAGTCCCAGGTATTTTTCCAATTTTATCTTTAAAAAACAAAAGCAAATTTGCCACTAGGGGGCAGCAGTGAATAGCTTTTCCAAAGGACACAGTCAGGATCAAATAATTCTATGGTTTCTAAAGTTGGTTCTGTAAGAATCATCTGGCAGATAGTTTTCTTTAAATCCAGAGACTGTATTTCCCCTCACATGACTGTGACCTATGTATATTTTAAAACATGTTCACATCAATCATACTTTATGCATTGCTAATGGATCTTTTTGATCTCAGATTCCCTTTGCACTCTTACAAATTGTTGAGGACTCCCACAGAGCTTTTGTCTACGTGGGTTGTATCTGTCAATATTTATTGTGTCAGAAATGATTTATTGATTCATTAGAAACTAACCTATAACCTATAATTTTTTGAAAAATAACTTTTTCATCTAGTGAGCATACCACTGTTTTGGATTTCTTTTTTTTTTTTTTAATCTTACAAATATTTTGGTGTTTGACATAATAAAAAACATCTGGATTCTCATATTAGCATTCAAACTATTACAATAAGTTGTTTTAGATAAAAGTATATGAAGATAATCTGACTTCACCTAAGTATATACTTGGAAAAGGACAAAGAGTATTTTAATAATCTTTTCACACAAACGGGAATATATTTCTTTGACACTGCACTAGAATTTGACAAATGGTAGTTTCTTAAAGTTCAGTTGTGAGATCCAAGCCCTATCCATGAATATTTGTACTATGATTAAAATATGTTGTTCTATACTGTACTTTGGACAGATTTTAAAGTAGGAATTTATAGCATGACTTTATGACATACATAAGTCATTTAGAAAATATTGATTTGCTGAAATATTCAGATCTTCTAATATTGACACATTTCATTATATAATATCAAAATATATTTGCTAGTATCAGCACCAGCCTCATTAGAAATTATTGAGGACTTTATTAAGAACTGTCAAGCATGCCAATACAGATTTTCCAGGGTATTTTGTGTGTGTGTGTGTGTGTGTGTGTGTGTGTGTGTCTGTGTATATATGTGTATTTTGTGTAACCATGAGTCTTATCATTGTCATCAAAAACTGCTGGTTATTTTTCTTGAAATAACAGGATTGTTTTATTCATTTTTGAGGCAACAATTCATGTTGTATGACCAGTTTGTCAGCCAGTCTTTGAAGTCAGTGATATTCCATGAAAAAAATTAGCTAGTTCAACTTGCGGCTCAGATAACCACATAGTGCTTTTCTTCAAGACATCCACATACTTCAGTATCCAGAAGTGCTTTATGTGTTCTTCCCATTCTGTCACACATTAATATTAAAAAGATGTTCTCTGCAGTTGATTTAATAAAATTATTAACTTTTACTTTTTATCAAAGACATTCGTATATGAAAATGGCCTTTCCCCCCATGAATATTTAGCATTGAAGAATCCAGTGGCTGCCACTATAGTTTGGTGCCACTGCCTTGATTTGTGCAAGGTTGTTACCAGCCATTTTTACCCAACAGTTGCTTTTGCATTGACAGTGCTAACATCAGCACAGTGAAAATGGAAATAATGTGTTAGTATTGTTATGAAAATAGTTTTAACTTTGCAACTTGCTTATGATGTCCTTCAGCATCTTCAGACCCATCTGAAAACACACTTTCCTGGTTTGTGGTCTCACCAGTACTTTGTAGTTGGAAAGAATTTGGGGAAACATCTGGTACAGTTGAATTCATAGTCAACTGTAAGAATCATCAGAGGTGCTTGTTAAAAGTCCATGGACCCCACACCAAAACTCCTGAATCAGAACCTTTATGAGAAGGACTCAAAAATCTTCCTTTTGCAGCTTCTTATTACCTTGTATCCAAAATCATTGATCTTGTGTGACCCCTTTACATGGAGTAAACTGACCCAACAGATGGCTGACCATAGATACAACTGATTGAGGAAGAGCCTTCAAAGTGGCCATTTGTAGCATATCTCCCTTCTCTATTACCTTCTTTAACCCATTTACATAAAGTTCAGGGTTTTAAAAGACTAAAGATTTTTCTGTTTTTGTTATATTGTTTTGTTTTATTTTGTTTTTCTATTCAGAAAGAAAGAACTACATAGTTACCTTTCTCAAATCAGTCAACATATTTTCTCTCTCACATAATTACATATCACATACCTTTTTTATTTCTTCATAAAGTGGTACAAATAGCCTAGAATTTTTTAAATTTATCTTTGAGCTGGTTTCTTATCTTTTTTTTTTCTAAAGAGTTGATTTGTTTCACTTAACAACTACTAGTTCAAGCCACTATTAAAATGAATATATATTTACTGAGTTCACACTTCCTGGAAAGGAGTCCCTAGAAAAGAGATAACTTCTAGGAAGAAATACATATTCTATAAAACATTGCCCTTTGTGCGGGTGGAGGGCCTTGATCTAGAGGGGCAAATGTGTTACATAGTGACTTTTTCCATTTGGTTCTGGGAGACATTGGCCACTTATTCTTTAAGATAATATTCTAGGTACAGACTTAAATAAGGTAGTCCCTGATTTCTGAACATTTGAGTCACCCACACCTACCTTCAGATGCCAGAGGCTTTAAGGCACTTTGAGGCAGACGTTCTGAACAGCCATCAGAGTTGTGCATGTAAGTTAGCACATAGTTGTAGCACAGCCTGTGGATCCAAAAGCCTTAGAGCAGAAAACAAAGACAGAGCACCTTTGCCATTCAGTTCCCTTGAGTGATATGCAATACCTGAATCAAGCAATTTCTGATTTCATATTTATGTGTGTGATGATTGAAGATGAGGTCTTGTCTTATATCTGTAATGCAGAATACTTATAACTGATGTTAAAATAAAAACTTGAGACAAAATAAATTTGTTCATTCTAGCAAAGAAGGATTCATGACTCAGGCAACACTCAAAACCAGAAGAGGTTCAGAGAGCTTTTCTCTAGCTGTGTGAGCAACGAGCTTTTATAGGCCCAATGCAGAAGCAAAGTCAGTTACTTAACTGTCGCCTTATTTGGATATGATCCATCTAGTTGGCAGGTTGTGATTGGCTGAAGTTCAATTTGGTGGTAGTGATGGTGATGGTGGTTGTTGTTGTTTCTCCCAAAATTAATCAGATAAAGGACGACCTCTTAATTAAGTGTGGGTGTGCCTGTGTAAGGGTTCCTGGTACAGAAACAAACCCAAGGCAATGACCTGCTCATTTTGCTTTAACAGTAAAATAAACAGTGCTTCTCAAAAGTGTGAGGAGGTCTGTGAGTTCAAACTATTTTCTTATTACTACACTTACTTTCCCTTTTCAGTCTCATTCAGTTTCAGTGACATTTTCTGGAGGCTGCTTAACCTGTAATGTAGGCAATAAATTAAATGCTGAAACAGATAAGAGAATCTAGCAGAAATTAAAGAGATTTATAAAAATTAAGAATATAGTTCTTTTCCTTAAACACAGCTTTTTTCATGATAAAGTTTTCATTACATAATAGGTTTTTTATTGTTTTTAATACTGTAGAGACAAGTAAGATATATTCCTATCTTATGGGAATATATTAGAATGGAAGCAGACATTGTAAAAAGTAAGTAACTCTTGTATTGACAAGCAGAGAAATTTGGGGAATACAAAAAAGGATGTAGTTATTTCTGCAAAGCTACGAGGGACAGGCCTGTACTCCTTACCCCACCTCCCACCACCCCTGGTTTCTTTCTCAGCATACATATTTGATTGATAGAGTCTAGACTTCTGTTGGGTTGCTTGTCTCATTCTGTCTTATTACACAATTGTCTTTGTAATATGTATCTCATATATTCGTCATTAAACTCTCTGAAGCCAAGAGTCTTTTTTCATCTCAAGCCTCAAAAATAGTTGCGTAATAGTCATGTCTGTTATTTCATTCAGCAAAGATTGAGTCCCTTCTTGTATCCATGAGTTCCACATTTTCAGGTTCAACCAACCACAGATAGAAAATGTTCAAGGAAAAAAAAGTTAAAATAACAATACAACAATAAAAAGTAATACAATAAAAAGTATACAATATAATAAAAATACAGTACAGCAACTACTTACATAGCATTTACATTGTATTATAAGTAATTTAGAGATAATTTAAAGTATACAAGAGGTTATTTATAGGATATATGCACATACTACACTATGTTATACGAGGGTCTTTAGCATCCACCACATTCAGCTGTTGAAGTAGGCCCTTGATACCCAAGAATGATTATATACTTTGAACTAGGACCTTTGGTACCCATAAAATATTTAATAAATATAGATATATTTTTCTCTTTAGGCTTATGGAGATGATTTAATCATAAACCAACTAGAAAATGGTAGAATTATTCTTTTTTTAAAAAAAACTCTATGCTTTTATTCTCTCCCTCTCATGTTTTTTGATATCATGATTGCCATGTTTTGATATTGTGTATCCCTTAACAGATTAATGTAGCTGCTAGTAATTTTGTTCTTTAACCTTTGTATTAAAGATATAAGACATTATATTAAGCAAAATAAGCCAGGCAAAGAAAGATACATACCACATGATCTCACTTATACGTCAATCTAAAAACGTTGTACCCATAAAAGCAGAGAGTAAAAGGGTAGTTACCAGGGGCTGAGGGTGGGGAGTGGAGCTGGGGAGAAATGTTGATCAAAAGTTACAAAATTTCTCTGAGGCAAGAAGAATGAGTTCAAGAGATCTATTGTACTATATAGTGACTATTACTAAGAGCCATGCATTATATACTTGAAAATGGTTGAGAGTAGAATTTTACGTGTTCTTGTCACGCACAAAAAAATGAATAACAAGTATGTGAGGCAGTAGATATGCTAATTATCTTGTTTTCATCATTCTACAATGCACACATATATCAAAACATAATATTGTACACCATAAATATGTACAATTTTTATCAATTAAAGAATATGGGCTGGGGATGTGGCTAAAGCGGTAATGCTCGCCTGGCGTGCGCAAGGCACTGGGTTCAATCCTCTGCACCACATAAAAATAAAAAATAAAGATGTTGTGTCCACCGAAAACTAAAAAATAAATATTAAAAAAATTCTCTCTCTCTCTTTAAAAAAAAAAGAATATAAAGTTTTTGAAAAGGAGAAAGAATAGTGGAATTGAAGACTTAATGTGTGTAACCTAGGAAATTAATATGAAAATATGGAATAGTTCATATGAATTAGGGAGAATTACATAAACATAGGTCTTTTCTTGACTTTCAAATTATATATTTTTTCAGTTATATTTTAAACCAAAATTTAAAATTATTGTTTTTGACTTCAATTTCCATAGATTGGCAAGTCACTAAATTTAAGAAGGCAGTCAGTAGAACTAATGCAATACAAAGTGTGTTTTTCAAAAATAATATAAAACTAGCAGGCATAATTACTTATTAATTATAATCTATATGTAATAGTCTTCCTGTTAACTATCCATAATTGTGTGATTGTAGTTTATAGCTGAAAGGTGTATCACATAAGCAACATTTTTTTCAGATGAGGAAATTGAGATCTGCAGAGGTAAAAGGACTTCAGTAACACTACACTAAAGCAATAGGATTAAAATTAAGGTCTCCTCTCTCCCAGTTGAGCTCTTTTTGTTTGTTATTGGATATTGCCATCTGTGACCCAGACATTTCAAAATTGTTTTGATACATTTTGGTACCTTGAAAGCTACAGTTTGGAGGGGGTGGGGAACTGAGCTTTCTAGAAATCTAGAGACCCAAATTCAACTTCAAATTTAACTGCAACATGAACTGGCCACAACTCTAAGACTGACTTGACCATTAATCTTTTGCAAGTCTTCTCCCTCTGAGACCTTTACTGTTTCTTCTAGCTTTAAAATCCTCCAGGCCAAAACCAAATGTGATCCATATGATCTTGTATCCATACAATTAGTTTGATTAACCAATCATTAAATAAGCCTTGACTTCCCTACACAAAACTACCTGGCTCTCTTGTCGTCCCACATTACATGTGTAGCACTTGCCTGTTTTTCTCAAAAATGAACTCCTCAGGGCAGGGATCCTATTATCTCTTAACTATAATATTCTCAGTAAAGTAAACACTCATAAAACTTTATTGAATGAGTGAACATCAGTTTTAGAGATCTGGCATTGTTTCAGGCTTTCTCTATTTGAATTTTTGTAGTAAAGGAAAATAATAGTATTTTTAAACAGTGTTAGTTCAGGTTCTTGATAGCTTAGCCATTTATCCGTGTAGTCTTTATTTGATCATAAGGATTCTTTCAGTTGTGTAGTCTGAACACCTTGTTTTCTCTCTAACTCACAATTAACATACAATTCTGCATGATACAATGGCCTCTTTAACTCCTTCCTCATTTTAATAAAACATTAATTTGGGGGATCAGGGAAATATAGTAAAAACTGGTCCCATTTGCAAATCAATTTGCAAAAATTTATTTTAATCATTTTCTCTTTTATTTGTGTAGTTATAATCGCTGGTTATGTCAAGCAAGATCTGAAGATCTGTCTGATATTGCTTCTTTGAAAGCCTTATACCAAACAGGTAAGCGTAATTACTTATATGATGACTTATTCTTTTCATGAATTAGGAATCCTACCCAGCTTGCTATTTGAGAGTTGATTTTTCTCTATTTCTTTAGTGCTAATGCAGATAGTCTATGGCCTTTATCTAGATCTTAGAAATAATGTACCAACCTATAACATTTTCAACTTATGGTCCTATATTGCCAACTTTATTTCTTCCTATTGTCCTTTTTCTTTAAAAAAAAAATGCTTTTATAAGTATCTTATACATACTTGCTATTACAAAATTCAGACCTTACATAAATATATAATGACAACAGCAAAATCTTCCAGATTTCCTTTCTTTCTTAATTATATTTCTTTTTCTGACAGTACTCATTAATTTTCAGATTTGATCACTGTTTAGTTTTTCCTAGATCACTGATGTTGTTTAAAGTTGTGGTAAGCTTGAACAAAATGTTATTTATAAAAATATCATAGACTATCCCTGATTTAAAATTTTTAAGAGGTCTTATCTTAAAAGTCAGTGCAGTAATCAAAACCACATAAAGCTAAAGAAGGAAAGAAAGAGAAAAAATGTTGTTTTGTTTACAGTAAGAGAAATCTAAAGATGAAATTTGAGAAACTCAGATTTCTTGGTTGTCATTCTTTTAAATATGTGTGGAATATTTTTTATGTAGTCAGAGCCAGGACAATAATGAAGTTTCTGGGTGCTGATTACATTGTCTGTTTCTAGGTGTGGATAATTGTGGTCGAACAGTGATGGTGGTAGTCGGAAGAAACATTCCTGTAACATTGATTGATATGGACAAGGTAAGCCGTAAAAGAGGTTCTCGTTCATAAATAGTGTTGATTTTTAAAAGAAGTAGGATATGAATTGGGAATCAAGGCTAAAAACATGGTGAAGCTGAACTGTGTATCAGGGAAGCAGCCCTGGTTCTGTGAGTGAGCTGTATTAAAGTACTGGAAAACTGAAATATGATCTCCAAAAGCATGACTGCTCTGTTTTGGATATAACTGGCAAGTGTTTGGTTGGACCATTCTGTATTGTAATGGTAAAATCAAATTTAGACTCTTTTGAAAAAAGAAAATTAATACTTGGCTGTCTAAAAGAGAATAAAACAAAAACAGTTTACCCAAGGTAGCATAATTTCATAATCCATTCATTGGAGGTCAAGGAACAGAAACAGATGATTCCTAAAAGAAAAAATAGCTGACAACTGATAAATAAAAATAAGATAACTCAAACTGATTAGTAGTCCAAAAGAAGTGAGTCAAAATATCTTTTGTCCTTTTCAAAATTAGTCAAAACTTGTAAATAATAATGTCATTAAAGATGAATCAACACATAAAAGTGATCACACCTATTGACCCAGTAATTCCATTTATGAGAAATTGTACTAGGAAAATAATTTAAAGTACGGAAGTAAGTGTAAGCCCTAAAATTGCCGAAAGTGGAATATTCAGGTAAGGTATGATTAAATGTATGAGATAAATATATAGATTTTCTTAGAACATCAGTTTTATTAGAAACTACAAAGGAGAAAAATAACTTTAACTGATCAATAAGTATTAACCACACAAAAATTATATACCTAAAAATACAAAATTATATATAATTGTAAAATAAAATTCACTTTTGCAAAAGCTAATAAGTATTTCAGCTAAGTCCTCAAATTCTTCATCACTGGTGTTTGAAGGGAGAAAAAAATGTGAAAGTATTGAACCTGGAATATTATTCAAAGGTCCATTTATAGCAAAAAGTTATAAATTTGAATTTAAATTATAATTAATTATCTAATGGATTATTGTGACACATTCAGAAATGGAATATTCTATAACTCTCAAACTCTGAATGGTCATAGAGGGGAGTACAATAGAGAAAGGTTTACAACATAATATCAGTAGGAGAGAGTGTGCAGTAAATTGTATCTAAACTGATATTGAGTTTTTGTTTTTGTTTCTTTGTTTTGTTTTAAGCATTAAGGTAAAAACTGGAAGTAAATATCTCAAAATGGATTTTGCTGTTTGGGAGAGAATTTATATTATAGATTTTTTCATCATACCTTTTTATAATGACAAAAAAGCTAAAGATGGGGAATTTGAAAGCAAAGAGAGGTATCCTAATAGTGCTGGTTTGGGAGTAAAAAGTGGACAGAAAGAATACAAAGAGGAAGTCTAGTAAGAGGAGAAGTAGAACTTTAAAAATATATACACACACAGAGAAAAGGCCCAACTGCTGAAAACTACATTATTTAATTTCTATTTACAACTATTTGTTTTGTGTACTTATTAAAGAGTATGACACACATTCTTAAAAATAATGTGACTAATACCAATTAAAATTTAAATCCCTCTGTTTGATTTTGGTGTGTACTTGCATGGTAGCCTGGATATTATATAAATTTCATATACATAATAGATACATTGTGAGGTCCAAACCAGGCAACAACTAGAAAGATACTGTATTTTCTTAATGCCCATCTCTGTCGGCTCTGATAGCAGTTGGATCCTATTCCATGTTAAAGCCAAGGTCTCATCTGAGGAGGAATTGGAAACCAGCCTGTTCTATGGTAATCCTTTTGGTTGTTACCTCTTACCTTCCTCCTTATAATTGTTTACAGTTAAACCACTGTGTCATACCAGCCCTGCTCATATTGGGTGTCTGTTTTTGTTTTTAGTGTTTTCTTACATTTCTTGTAGTGGAATACCTTTCTCTTTTCAAACTGCGTCAAACAAAATTTTAGTCTTTTTGAGCACTAGAAATGCTACCCAACCTCTTGCTACCTACCATCGAAACTTGTTCCAATTTTCTCATTTAGATCAGCATTAAAAATGCTAAGAAATTAGCCCTTAAAGTGAGTCACATAAAGCACTAATTATATTCTTTTATAGTAATCCTTTGGTTACATCAGAGCCATGAGTCTATATCTGAGTAGAGACTACAAGGAATTTGATCAAATCCAGGCAGAAAGTTCAAGAATTGTTAAAAGTCTAGAAATTCTACTTCTAAAGATTCTGATATCTTTATTCAAAAGAGAAGAAACCTGGTAGTTGACTCAAAAATTCTTTCCAGGGGTTGGGGTTGTGGCTCAGTGGTAGAGTGCTTGCCTAGCACATGTGAGGCACTGTGTCCATCTACAACTAAAAGAGAATTAAAAAAATAAAAATAAATTTTTTTCAACATATGAAAAGTTATTTCACAAGACATAGACTGTTTATTCTCTTCTATTGGGGGATTGTACCATAGCTTTTGTAAGAATTACTAAATTCTGGGATGATTCATTTTCCTGAAGATATTTTTAAAGAAAATTGATGCTCATCACCCTGGCCTGTTCATCTGCAATGACTGGGGCATAGATTAGTCTTTGGGTTTTTCCCTCTCTCGGCCTCTGTAAATAGACTACTGTGCAAAATGATCATTACTCCTCCTTTTTCTTCCAGGCTCTCTTATATTTTATCCATGTAATGGATCACATTGCTGTGAAAGAATACGTGCTAGTATATTTTCACACACTGACCAGCGAATACAATCACCTGGACTCTGACTTCCTGAAGAAACTCTACGATGTTGTTGATGTCAAGTTAGTTATTTTTGTAAATTATAAAGGGAGATGTAGTTTCTTTATTTTCTAGTTTGAAGCAATAGCAAACATTCTAATGTATTCTATGAAAGGGTATTTCATATGAAATATTTTTATCATATAAATTAGTTATAGGCCCTCTTTAACAGATTTATTTTGCATTAATTGATTAAATGAATTAAATAAATTAATTAGATTTATATGTATTATTTTCCCACTTTTAAATACCTTAAAGAGGATTGGGCCAATCTTTGTGTAAGTAATAAAAACTTACTGTTTATTTTTATTGTGTATCATACTTACCAATATATACTTATGTAAACATTATTTGATTTGATCTAATGATCCATGAGATTGTTAGGAGAAATGCTTTCTGCATTTGAAAGATAGGAGAATATTGACATTCTGAAAGGTGAAATGTGCTGTCCAAGGACTCACAATAGTAAATGCAGAGTTTGGACTTAACTACCTACTAACTTGGAGCTGGAAAATTTATTTATGTTAAACCATATTACCCATGAAATGACAATTGAAAATTTAATGGAAAATATATATCACCCCTCTACAGCAAGATCAAATGTAATGTTTTAAACTTTTCTCATTAATGTATTTCCAAATAAAAATGGCACTTTACGCTCCTAGTAACTATTTTGTTATTTTTAGCATCACAGTGTCTTCATGGATTATATTTTACAATTAGGGTACAAAGAAGGAAAATTACCATAAATTTATAGCTGTTTTGCTCCTCCCATTAAATCTCAGATTAATTAACAATATTAATGTTTTCATTATCTAATAAATGCAGTCTTAACCTGCTCTGAATGTGAGGGGTGTGTGTGTGCGCATATATGTATATAAATGGAAACTTAATGCTGCTCTCTTTGTCCTTCTGCCACTAACCAGCTCTTTAACTTGGATTAGGCCTCAGATATAAAAGGAACAGTTTATACTATTTCTCTGAAGTTCTTACCAATAGCCTCATGTGACTCAATAATAATTGTTGAACTGTTGGGAAAAAAAATCTCACGCACACCTTTTAGAAAAGCTAGATGAAATAGTGGATAAGTATGATTCTGGAGCAGTATGGCCAGGGCTTATTTCCTGGCTTTACCATTGGATGGCTGCATGACTTTAAGAGGGTTAAAACAGGCAATAATAGTACTCATCTCACAGAATTATTACAAGTATTAAGAAAGAAAGCCATTATACTATATGTGGGATATCGTAAACTCCGTTGAAATATGACCATGGAAACTTCTAGTTTCTAATTTTTGCTGTAATTTTAAGTGGTTTTAATGTTATTTAATTCTTATATCTGATTCCAAGTGATTCTATCACTGTATAAAAAACAACACATGATAAATGTGTTAAACATAAGTTTATTTAATTTTGTGTTTACCTTTAGGTGGTAGGGTCTCTCTCACAGCCCACAGAAACTTGGTGTTTTCTGTAAAACAGACATTTTAAGTGATGAAATATTCTCAGAATTTCACCTAAAATTCAATACACAGAGTTGCTTCTAAAATATTTTTAACCTCCCTGAATATATTTATATATATAAGAGTTAATTTCTGTAATAGTGACTAGTTTTAGGAATGACTTATATTGACCCTTTTGTTTGTTTGTTTTGGTTAGATACAAGAGGAATTTGAAGGCTGTTTATTTTGTTCATCCAACATTTCGTTCAAAGGTATGGTATTTTTCTTTTTGGGCTAACTTCTAAATGCACTGCATGCTCTGAATATTAAGGTAAAAAGTTTCAGCATTTTACTTATTGCTGCCACCTTTGTAACTGCTAATTGTTTGTTTGCCCTTCCTTTTTAATTGATCCCAAGTTGTGGTCCTAATGTTTTGGTTGTGTGTGATGTTAGTATCTTTTGGAGCAACCTTTTAAGCCTTTAACTTCTCAACCTGTGCCTCTTGTTGCTCTTTGTTCATCTGGACTTTGCTCATGCTGTCAATATGGAATATACTTACTCCTCTGCTTATGGCTGACTTCTGCTTTCCTTAAGATCTTGGTTCAATAGTTATTGTCTACACAGAGCCTGCCTTGATTAATCCTATAGGTAATAAATACTCCTGCATCATATCCCTTAAAGTCCCATAGTCTTCTATCATTGTTATGCTTTTGTTCTGACTATTTAATTCTCTGCCTTATGTTAGCTTGCAAGATCCATGTGTCCTAGAATATAGCTGTCTTGCTCACAGTTTTATTCCTAGTATCTGATCTGACGCCTTAACTTCACCAAGACATTTAGTCCCTTGGTCCTTTTACTTTTTCTGAAAATGCCATCCTTCTTGCTTTTTATTCTTCCCTATCTATCCTAAAACACCTTGCATCACTTCAGACTCTGTTATCAATGCCTAAACTAACCTGTGACCTCTTACTCTTTTGTCACACCTGCCCATGAAACCTCAGCTTGACCTAATCCATTGCTCTGCTTTCTTTACTTCTCCGCCTGAGTTGAAGAACACTGGTGGAGAAATCACACAGCATGAGGAGTTGCAGTCTTGACAGACTCAGAGTTGCTTTCACTGGTAGAGGTATTTTGATGTTTCACTGGACAGAATATTTCATCTCCTCAAGTCCCGTCCTACCAGCTTTTCCGTATTCCCAACAGGTAGCTTTCCCTCATTCTCAATCAAGAAATTGAAACCATCATAGATAACTTTCTGCCTTCTTCCTCCCAACTCAAACTCACCTGCCATCTGTTTCTATCATTGCCTCCCTTTTCCCTTTCACCAAAAAAAAAAAAAAATGTGCTCCTTCTTAACAATGGATACTGCTGTGCTGTGTGCTCTGGCTCCCATAGTAATAACTGTAGCTGGTTTTTTTTGAGCACTTACTATCTGCCAGTTCTTTCCATGCATTATCTTGTTTAAGCCGTACAATGTTTCTAGAAAATAGAGAGTGGTAGAATTCCCATTTTACACAAAAGGGAATTAATATTTATATTACGAGATTCCCACAAGGCCCACAAGGTGACCAACAATGAGTAGTAGCAAATACTGGCTGAATTTGAATCTAGGCATTTTAATCTAAGAGTATACACTCTTTTGTTGTTGTTGATGTTGTACTCAATCACTGAGCCGCATCCCCAGCCCTATTTTGTATTTTTTTAGAGACAGGTTCATGCTGAGTTGCTTAGCGCCTCACTGTTGCTGAGGCTGGCTTTGAACTTCCAATCCCACTGCCTCAGCATCCCAGAGCCGCTGGGATTACAGGCATGTGCCACTGTGCCCAGCCTCTACACTCTTAACTACAGAGTGTTTGTTTCCATTTCTTTGGAAATATCTCTTCAGCAATTAGCGTCTTTCTCCTCTTTCACTTTGCCAGATCTAAATCACCAACTCTTAAACATGCCACAGCATCTGTTAGTCTGTTCCCCTTGACAGCCAGAACTTATTAGTTAATCTATGATTTGTAGTCACCATCTCCATTTTTCATACACTTTAAATTACTCTGATCTGTTCTGATCCCATTGTGCCAGCTAAAGCTGTTCACACAAAAATCACTGATAATCAGTGTTACTATATCCAGTAAATGCTTTTCTGTCTTTATGTTACCTGCTTTCCCTACAGCCTTAAATGGCTGATCACTTCTTCTATGAAACAGTTTATCTTGGCTTCTTTGAAACTTACTTCACCTGGTTCTCCCCGCTTCTAGCTGCTCCTTCTCAGTCACTTTTGTGGACCTTCTTTCTCTACTCATCCTTTGAACACTAATGTTCCCAAGACCTCTGCCCTCACCTTTCATTCTGTATCTTTTTGTCATCTCTGTGTTTTCAGAAACCCTTCAAATTATATGCAATCCCCAATTACATGATGAGGAATCCTAATGTTTAGAAACATGGTTTGAGATGACCTGAGTTCTAATCCTTGCTCTACCAACCACCAGTTTATCATCTTAGGCACATAGTGTAATCTTTCTGTGTTTTACTTTCATCCTGTATGAAATGGAGGTAATAATAGGGTCATAGGTCATTGGGAAAATGAAGTGAGTTATTACATGTAAAATGCTTTGAACATTACTTAGCATATCATGTTCCCTCAATAAAGTTAGCTGTTATCATCATTTCTAGGCTCTAGATCTGTGCATTGAACTGCTCATTAGGTGCCTTCATCTAGGCCTTCATGTAGGTATCACATGAGGGAACATGATATGCTAAGTAATGTTCAAAGTAGCAATTTTTTAAGTCCCTAAGCATCTTAGTGAGTCACTGTCTCAAAATAAAAAAGGATTGGGGATTTTTCTCAGTGGTTAAGTGCCCCTAGGTTCAATCCTCAGCACACAAATAAAATGTATATATTAGCAACTGATGATCAAGTTGAAATTTAAAAAACATATCATTTATATGAGGATAAAATATTAAGTAAGTACATAGAGATAAATTTGACAATGTAAAAGACTTACATTCTGTATAGTTTTATATGCTGTAGAACACCAATGGAGAAACTGCAGACCTAAATAAATGAAAACCTGTACTGTATTTGTGAATTGGAAAACTTAATATTATTATTTCTTGATAAATATGTAAATCTAGTTCCAATCCCAACCAAAATTTAAGTAAGTATATTGGTAGAAATTGACCAATTAACTCTGACATTCATGGGACAATGCTAGGAATTTAAGGTAGTCAACCATTTGGAAAAGAAACACAAAGTTAGAGAACTAACACTACCTGCTTTGAAAGCTTATTCTGTAGCTACAGTACATGAGATGGTGATACAATGGCACAAAAATAGACAAATCAATGGAACAGAATAAAGAAAGACCTAACTGTAAAATTTTAAACTTTAAATTGCAGAAGAAATTATAGAAGGAAAATCTTTGTGACCTTGAGTTAGGCAAATATTTCTTAAATATAATACCAAAAACATAATCCATTAAAAAAAAAAAAAAAAAGAACCGGGTGTTCGCCCTCTAATAGACACTGTTCGGAGAATAAAAAGACAAGTTGCAGCCTAAGAGAAAAATCAGCGTACACCATATACCTGATAAGGATTGTATCTAAGACATAAAGAAGTCTCACAACCAGTAATTAGGAAGACAATGTGGAGAAAAAGGAACACATACATTGTTGGTAAGGCTGTAAATTGGTGCAAACACTATGGAAATCAATATGGAGGTTCCTCAAAAATCTAGGAATGGGACCACTATACGACCCAACTGTATTACTCCTTGGTATTTATCCTAAAGAATTAAAGCCATTATACTAGAGTAATACATGCATACCCATGTTTAAAACAGCATAATTTACAATAGTCAAACTATGGAATCAGGCTAGGTGTCTATCAACAGATTAACTGGTAAAGTGTGGTATATATATATATACACATATATATATGTATGTATGTATATATACACACAAAAGTGTGGTATATATATTAAGTTTTATTCAGCCATAAAGAAAAATGAGAATAGTCAAACTATGGAATCAGGCTAGGTGTCTATCAACAGATTAACTGGTAATTTGCAGGAAAATGGGTAGAACTTGAAAATATTATGTTAAGTGAGAGCTTGGAAGGTCAAGGGTCATATGTTCTCTCTCATTTGTGGAAGCTAGAGAAGAAAAAAAAAGGTAGGGAGTGGTTCATGAAAATCAAAGGAAGATCACAGTAGAATAGAGGAAAGAGAGAAGGGGAGATAAAGGGGAAATACTGGGGAATGATTGGCCAAATTGTATTGTTATATTGCGTGCTTGTATGAATATATAACAGCAAATCCCACCATTATTTACAACTATATTGCCCCAATAAAAATATGGAAAAAAATGAAACTTAAAAAAAATAATTAGGAAAAAACTCAGTTTAGAAATAGGCAAAGATTGTATAAATACTTTACCAAATATGATATTCATATAGGCACATAAGCACATGTTCAACCTAATTAGTCATTAAGAAATACAAATTAAACTCCATTGAGGTATCATTACACTCCTATTATTACACTCTCACAATGCTGATCAAAATTTAAAATGCTATAGGTACTTTGGCAAACAACTTGGAAGTCTGTTTAAAGAACTAAAACATCGTCTACTATGTGATACAGCCATCCCACTTCTAGGCATTTACCCAAGCCAAGTGAAAACATTCATATAAGAACTGACTATACACAAATACTTAACAACATCTTCATTTGTGATAGTGAAAACTATAACAACTCAAATACCCTTCACTGGGAGAATTTATAACCAAAGTCTGGTATATCTATACACTAGAATAGTACTCAGCAATAAAAACCACAAACTTGATATGTACAACAACATAGATGAATCTCAGAAATGTGTTAGTAAAAGAAGCCAGACCAAAATGGAGTACATACTGTATGGTTCCATATATTTGGGAATGATGGATATGTTCATTTTATTAGTCATAATAATGGTTTCATGGGAGTGGGGGTTTGTATGTGTTTGTCAAAACTTAAATTGTACATTGCAGTGGTATCTCAGTAAAACTACAATAAAATGCCACTACACTGCCACCAGAATGGCTAAAATTAGGGGTTGACAATACCAAACATTGCCAGTGTCTTGGAGCAGCTGGAATTCCATGTATCACAAGTGGAAGTGAGAAATTTGTGCAACCACTGCGCAGAAAACTATGGCAGTTTCTTATGAACAAATCATATACCCTGTCTATCCCCTGGCAATTTCAGTGCTAGGTACATGCCCAGGTGAAGTGCAAACCTATACCCACAAAAAACTTCTACAGCAGTGTTTATAGCAGCTTTTTTATAATACCCAAAGTCTAGAAACAACTTTAGTGTTTGTCAATAGGATCATGAATAATTAAACTCTGGTATATTCTTGTAATGGAAAATTACTTAGCAATAAAAAAACATTTACTACTGATAACACACCACAGTATGGATGAATCTTATATCTTATATAAACTTAAAGAAATGTTACGTAACAGTCAAGCTGTGTGATTCCATTCATGCTTTGAGGTTCTAAAGCAGACAAAACTAATCTGTGATAGAAAAAAAAATCATGGGTTTACTTCTAGGGTATGGAGAATGAAGAAAAGGGCCATGATGGAACTTTCTGGGGTGAGGACAATGTTTTTGACCTTAATAGTAGTTTTGTTTATAGAGTCTTGTATATCTGCTTGACAGCAAAAGTACACTTTTCATTTCATTGACTGAAAATTTATAGCAAAGAAACTTAACAATATTAAACTGTAATTAAAGACATAAGTACTGTATTTGGGGAAAGTTTGCTGATATCTGCAGTTTGTACTTGGAAATATAGCAGAAAAATAAGATGAATTGATAGATGGATATAGGGATAGATAAATAATTTTGGGAAATGGAGAAAATGAGAGAATAAGACCCATGTGTAATAAGACCCACCATTATTTTATAGTAACTCAAAGCTACAAATGGAGTGTTTGCAATTAGGAAATGAAATTAATAGATAATAAAACCATCAAATCACACTATTATGATTTCCATATAGTTCAGATCTTTTCTAGGCCACTCCACCCTAAGAGGTATTAAATTGACAGCTTGTATAAATCACTCCCCTTTTTCTTCTTTGTAGTTTACTAATAGAATTTAAACCCACCATTGATTCTGGCCTTAGCAGATTATCTGAGGACACACATGTGTACTGTCTTTTCATAGCTTATATTGATTGTTTTGTGATCCTGCATTTTTGGTTTTGCATTTTTGAATAGTTGAGTGAAAGAATCCATAGAACTCACAAAATATATCAATAATCCTTTCCCGAATTTTAAATTTTCTTGACTTTTAAAGTAGTAGATACTAAGTAGTGAAAGTTTACTTAAATTAATGTCTGTTAGTTTACATTATAAACATACTGAAAATTTAAAGTTAAGCTATATAAAACTCAAAAACTAAAAAAAAAGGTAAAGACAATGCTATTGGGTCTCCCTGAAAACTTTTAACTGACTTTCCACTTATATTTTTGAGAAATTTTCTCCTACCAATACCTGGAGTATGTAAAAGATGTAATGGGAGAAAATGTCAGGGAGAATTGTTCCTCTTTCAAAAACTGTATTCCTAAGAGCAGTGTCTGTTCTTCCCCAACCCAATCTCTCTCTCTCTTCCACCACCACCACACCACCATATCAGTATAGTGTTGTTGTTGTTTTTTAAATATGTAAGAGTCCTCTTAAAGAATTGTATTACTTGAGGGAGACCTTAAAAATCACTATGTGGAACTTCTTCATTTTATAGATGGAGAAACTAAGCCCAGACTAAAGTGTAATTTACTCTTGTTGTAAAATGAAGGAATATTATAGCATTCCTAAATAGTAAGGCCAGAGACTCCTATAAATCTATTCTTTGATTCAAAAAACACTAAATTCCTTTGATGTTGTGTATTAGTTCTTACGAGTATATAGGAATATGACATTGAATAAGGCAGTCCCCATATTGGGAAGCTTACAGTCTATTTAGAGATTAGCTAATACAATGCACAGTAATATGAGTAAAAACAGCTTTGTCAGGACACTTAGAATGAAGATTCCTTGCCAGCTTTGGATAGAGGGTGGTCAAAGAAAGCTTCCTCATGGAGACAAATTTTGTTATGAATTCTCAAGGACAATTAGCCAGGCATAGAATTGAAGGAAAAAGTATCAAGGGCTAAATGAAAAGCATGTAAAAATATCCCAAGGTAAGAAATCATGACACAGAAATTCCCTGCATAGCTTCTTAGCTCCATATTTTAGATCTTTTCCAAGTAGCAGAGGTATTTGCATATAGTAGGTATTCACATGTTTCCTTTGGACCATTCATCACATGTAGCAAGCTTTGCCTTAGGTAGTTAAGATTAGATTGTTAGTTATTAATGATCTAGCTGCTCTATTAGAATCTTAGCTCTCTTTAAAGGAAAAGACATGTGAGTTATCCTGTCACATACAACCCCAGGTCAGTTCTTAGGACACACCTGTGGATGTTTATCTCCTTGCACAACAGTACCTCCTAACACATCCTTGAGGTTTCTTCCCTGTTCTACCCCTATGATCTTTGATTTTCTTGCTCTTTCTAGAATCTCAAAACTCGCAATAGTGTCTTCTGTGATGAATTATGGAGCTCCTAATCTGGAATTTTCAAATCATCTAATCTGGAAAAAAAATTATAGCAATAAAGTATATAATAGATGTGTTAAAACAAACTGATTTTGTCATGTTATTCAGTGACTTGTTAAACTCACTGTTCTGGTGAAGCCAAATACTTCCCTTAGCACCTGCCCATTGCCTCCCTTCAAATAAACTTGGTAAAATGGGAGGGGAGAGAGTACAGAGGATACTGCTAGTATTTGAAGCCCTTTATCAATCATTGATGGTATATCTAATGTAGAAAAGTGACCCAGGCCATAGACACCACTATAAAATAGACCTTATCTTCATTCATTCTTTAACAAATACTTGTGAACTCATGGCTCTTTCTGTACCTCATAAAACTATCCTTCTAGGATCGTCTGCTAGGTACCAGGGAGATTATAGAAATGATTATAGCCGAGGGAAAATCCCTTTGGATTGGTAAGGGAGAAATAATGGTAGGATGAGATTTGTACTGATTCGGAAGTTCGAATAGGATTCTGATAGCAATAACTAGGTTTAGTGTTTTCTCTGTTATTCTATGCCTCTTCTTACAAGTAAGTATGAAGACATATGTCATGTCAGGGGCCTAAGATATGTAAAAGCTTTGGGAACAACCACTGAAGAATATATAGAGTGCCAAAAAGAAATGAACCAAATGATTGGCATCCGTGGTAAGCACCCAAAGTGACATGTATTTATAATGTACCCAGTTTCTACCTATTCACGGTATGTTTTTCCAGTACCCTGAAAGTTCATATGCATGTTACCAACTTCTTAATAAAATGGGGGTAGCAACTATATCACCTACCTCATAGTACTGTTAGTAAATGTGAGCTAATTTATGATTGCTGATTTAAATAGGTAACCAAGAGTAGGTGTTAAGTTCTAGCTATCATGTACCTTAAGTCAATCCTTGCTAGGAGAAGTCTCCCCCCACACCCCGCTTTATTTTTCCTTTTTGGGGAGCATATGTAGACTTATATATTGTACAGTGAAATGAACAAAGTGGCTCTGCTTCTCTAGGTGATTCACTTTAATTTACTTCAAGAAAGAGACCACATGTCAAGTGTCAACCAAAAATATATTTGTCCTAAAATATTGGCAAAAGTTTCCTTTTCAGTCTCATTTGGAGATATAAAAGGGGTTTTTGAGATTTGGAGATATTAACCATTTTCAGAGTACCAGAGCACCAGTGATTGCAAATAATGCAGTGGATTTCACAGCCACCCACAGAAGAAGCATACTACACACACAGGAGTGTATATACATATAATGAAACAAAAAATTATGGAAATAAAACTTATCCTTACTTCAGTCCATAGTAATTGTTATTCTACTTTCTTCTGTTTCTAGTGTTGTTCATAATCTTTTAAAGTGATTGCATATCACACTGATGAATTACAAACTGCACTTTGGAAAATGCCAGTTACTAGAAGATTTTGAAATATAGTTTTTATCTAGTATAAATTTTCAAAATCATGTTTTATGGGTTTTATGGCTATTAGCTTAAAATATTTTTCTCTTCTGTTAATCAGGTATCAACATGGTTTTTCACCACCTTTTCTGTCTCAGGACTGAAGGATAAAATCCACCATGTGGACAGCCTACACCAGCTATTTTCTGCCATATCACCGGAACAAATTGACTTTCCTCCCTTTGTCCTTGAATATGATGCCAGGGTAAGTACCTCTCAATCTCACTCTTTGTGTAGTATAGTAAATATCTATACAGCTGCTTCTGTGATCACAACATTCTACCATTAGAAGATACTGATGTAGCATAGTGTGTTTTAATAAGCTTGATAATATTACTAATATTCTTTTCCTACAATAATTTGAGGAAAAGTCTTTGTCCTAAGAGGGTTTTTTTCCAGATAAACATTTCAATGTGAGATTTTTCTGCTCTGAGTTTGAAGCACCCCTTGGTACTTTTGTCAGTTTTCTACCACATTTGAGACAAGTACCTCTGCCTAATTTTCTTTAGATTGAATGACTTTTCAGCTATATAACCAGTCAGAATTAGTTTTGTCCACTTTCAGCAATAATATAATCAGCCTATCTTAATAGTCTTTACCCTTGCTAAAACTTTTATTTTCCTACACTTGGTGTAATGTTTTTAAGACCATCAACCAATTATATTGCCATTATTTATAGGTACATTTATAGATCTGTTACTCAACCACTAAAGGACTACTCTTGAATTTCACCAAAATTCTATTCCATTGTATTAATTCACAAGATCACCTCAGTAATTAAAAAAAAAAAAAAGTTACATGCTTGGCCAGAAGCTCAGCAAGCTCATCGTTTAACTATTGCTGATTACATGTCTTTATACATGAACCAAAGAATGTATTTGATAGTTATATTAAGTTTGAAATGAATTATTCTCCCCTAATTATTGTGTAACATGCATATAGTCATATAAAAATCCTGTAACACATTTTCTATCCAACATTTCTCTAACTTCAGCTGTGATTTCTGTTCCCCTTATGTGAAGAGCAGAGTGTTTAATATGTTCTAATAGTTAATAAAATTTCATGTTTGGCTGTTGCAAAGAGAGGATTTGTAATTGGAACAGCTGGATCATAAATACAAAGATTGTTGAATATATGGTAGGAAAAAAAAAACTATCACTTTTTATTTACTGCGGATTGTTGGAGTAAAAAGTGGCCTTATTGTTATGCTTTGAACTGCACTCAGTGTTCTTAATCACAATAAATATGAAGGCACCAAGGAACATTTTAATACCAACAAGTTGGAATGACAATTCAAAGCTAGTGTCTGTATTTATAATTTATTTTCTGGGGTAAAAATATATAAGTTGAGTAATTGGTTAGAAAACCTTAAGGACTGTTTATTTAAGGCCTAAGCATTTTCTTTATTCTTAAGGGTCTGTAAAGTAAGCTTTTATTAAATATTAGTTAAAACTCCACCACACTCAGATTTGGTGTTTTTCTGGTTTGTTTTGGATGCTTGTTGAGCTTTCTTGTTATTTTTTGGTATATGTAATACAGATATAATATAATTAATTAAAATTAAATATAATAACCTCCAAACTATTAATTGACTTATTAGGTCATATGTATATTGAAGCCAGAGAGATGCATAAAATGGGGAAGAAGCCAAACAGGGCATCAGGAGATGATGAGGAAAGGGCAGGCAGATCACTAGATCCTGGAACTTTACACATTATGTTGCAGGTCTTGGCTTAGTCAGTGGAGAGTGTTCTGCAAAGAAAAACTGCTGTTGCATTCCTGTTTAGAAAGATAAGTACAGAAACAGTAGAGAGAATGAATCGAGAGGGAGATAGGCAACGAGATTTGAGTCTATTAGTGAAGCCAGAGGAAAAATAAAACTAGAGTAAAGGCAGTGATAGTGACTGTGGTAAGATGCACTTGATACTGAAGCCACTTCAGAAGAGGAATTAGTCAGTAATTTTATAAATATAGTCAGAGGAGATTCAAATATTTTAGAAATATTTAGAAATAGACACTAGGAAATAAAATCTGCAGGATTTGGTAAGTAAGTAGTCACTACAGATGAAGCAGAAAGTAAATGCTTTAGGAGACTTGATGTGTGGTGCTGCCATTACCCCAGAGAATCAATATGAAGGAAAAGCACTGGGAGACTGGGTGGAAGGGACAGGCAGTATGTTACTCTATAACACATTAGGTTTGATGTGCCCTGTGGGACATAGAGATGAGATACCAGAAGGGGGTTGGATGTTGACTTGTAAGGAAACGTGTTCCTTTAGTGCATGGGAAGAATTAAAAATAGGACTGAAGAAAAGAAACAAGTATGGAGTCAATTTATTTTATTACCATGTTCAATTGTGCCTTGCACTTAGTAGGTTTATTATTGGGTGAAGCAGTGAAGTCATGGTGGATGTAGGTTTAGAAAAATCCCCTGTCTGGGATTTTTATGACTTTGAAGAGTGACATAAATTCTATAGGATTGAAAGAGACCTTTCAAGGTATTTAAAAGATAATTTTTATCTAGGTAAAAATTATACTGAAGCCACTTCAGAAAAGGGGCTAGTCAGTAATTTTATAAATATAGTCAGAGAGTATACAATCTTACCTGGCAACAATTTTTTAAAAATTTCTATGATTATTTCCAGAAATAGAAAAAATATTTGATTGTTTCACAGTCCCTTGTGAGATTAATGTGAGTCCTAATTTGTGGCCTTACATATAAAGTTGACCTTCTTAATTACGGCAGTTCAACATGGATATGAGAAACCTAAGGAAGTATGGGGGTATAATAGGATGGAGAACTTTTAAAGTCAATCAGTAAACTATTTCTTTTCAGATGAACTTCAGAAAAGATTTCTCTCTTCAGGGAGTGTTTCTTTGTCATAGCTTCCATGTATATTGAAGAATCAGGATTGGCTACTGACAGATCCTGATAGGAAGTGCTAAAATGAAAAAGGTTTTATTTCAAGTTTCTAGATATGTAGCTAGTCCTAGGGTGTTTCTGTCTAAACCATTTTTTTAATATCTTGGCATATTTATAATCAGAAATAAGTTTCCTTACTTGTTTTCCTGGTTATAGCACCAGTGTCAACTCCTATTCCATAATTATAACGTAAATATACTATGAAGCAATCTATTTTCATTTTACTTCTCATTGTTCATTTCTAATTATTGTTATACATTAATGCCAAACATTTTGTTTATGTTTTATTGAAAATAAGTTCATTGTCAAAGAAATACTTTTCTTAAAAATAAGAAACTTTCTTAAAAATGAGAAAACTTAAGTCTCATTAAATCTCATCTAGGATCCTCCTACCATAAAATTAACTTGTCTTGGCTTTTATTAAGATAAAATCAGCCAAAGTATGGGCCAGACATTTTCTCCTTACTCTGATTTGTTGCTTTCTACATTTGACATTAAAGTTATGGCATTTAATTCTCCATTTTGAGCTGGAAATAAATTCCTTTAGAACTATAATTGTTATAAGCTCTGCCACTTGGGTATGTCGTGAAGAAGACTCACTTCTGCCCAGAGTTATAGTTATTACATTCCTCAGAGATAATTTTGTTATTGTTTCATAACTATATTAAGATTTGGGACACAGTGAGACAACACATTCTAACAGAAAAGAATCTGCATGTTATATTCAAGTAGATTTGGGTTTAGATCCAGGCTTTGCTGGATACTGGCAGGTGACTAGGTGAATTATGTGATATGTGTGATCATTTTCCTCTTGTGTGAAATGAGGATGTTGCCTACTGCATGGAATTATATGGGGATTTAAAATGATAGTGAAAAACCATGTCTCGCATATGGAATATTCAATAAGTGGCATTGTCAAAGCATATTATCATTTTATTGCTTCTATTTATTTTACATGAACTCTGACTCACTGCCCTGAAACTACTCTAACAGCTGAGAGCTTCTCAGTGCCAGACATGTACTAGACATTTTACACACCCTACCTTGTTGACTATACATTCCTTTCTTTCACATTTGAAATTGGTCTTGTTACTTATTGTTCTTGTCTGTTTTTCTTTTCACAGGAAAATGGGCCTTACTACACATCTTACCCCCCATCACCAGATTTGTGACCTGCCATCTTCTAGTGCTTCTTGATTCCAAGGATGCCACTTCTTCCACAAATCACTACCTATTAAAGTGATGTTCATTTTTGCTGTACAGATCCAGAGAGCCTTTTGTCCCCACCTCTCTGGTATTTTTTTATTGACTATATTTTCTGGCACATAAGCAATCTAAAAATGGTAGGCCATTCTGAACTGCACACATTTTAAATTTGTATATTTGTATCAAATGGAAGTGTTCATTTTTAGAGTGTTGATAATAGGAATTGGGGAGCAACCTTTGAGTATCTTCAGTTTCCTGAAGGACACTGGATTCTCCATTGCATAAGCCACCAACAATGTTCATGTCTTCTCTCAAACATTGCACGCTTCCTTTGTGTATTTAAATATTTCTTGAAATATATATAACCAATGTATGCTGACTGGATGCATTGTCTGCTTTAGATCCTGCTGATAATACCATTATATTTTATACAGATAACCTAGTTGTAAGAAAATTATCTGGGACCAAAAATGTAGAAATATGTCTAATGAAAAACATAAACATCAGTAGCAAAATGTAGGACTTGCAAATTGACTACATAAGTTGAGACTAGGATTTAAGATCATACAATTTAGTAAGATTGCCACTGTTTTAACAGTGTAGAGAAACAAGAAGACTATATCTTCAGTCTTCTTCTGACAATCGAGGATTATTTGATCTTATTCAATAAGAGTGCACCTGCTAGCAGTCTTACGAGCATATCCCAAGACTTCATCACTCATCCCTCAGGAGCGTGCTGTCTTCCAGAGTTATGAAGGATTTTGTTTGGCTCAGTGTCTCTTGAGTTGCACTTTATTTGTGCCTTAACTTATTAGTAAAAGGATATGCTACCTCCCTCACCTAGGTATGAAAAAGGTAGTATTTAGAAAGAACTTGGAGACTTTGGATGAAAAATGTCTGAGGGAGTTTGTGTGATGGGGTGCCTTCAGCTAGTTTTTAAATGGGAATAAATATACTTGAGTGAATGTTACAAGGCACTCTTGTCTTCATCACCTTTGGAATGATATTTTTTTCATGGGGGGCAAGAACAGTTAGTGCAGCCCTGATGAGCACCTTCCTGCTTTTTCCAGAATTTCCTCTGGCCTTCTCCTTCCCCAGTGCTGCACTTTATTTGGAGGCATCTGTTAGCCATTGTAAGGATTTCTTCTTGAATTAAGGTCAAACCATTTTCATTTCCATCTGGGTGTCTTCATACTCCTTTTGATTCCTACACCCACCCACCTCATCTCCCTCGCCCCATTTGTATGTATATTTGCAGTTCAGAGAAGACAAAGTAGAACCCATCTGTTCCAATGTGTTCAGAATCAGTGCTTCTAAACATTCCATTCCCCTGTGCCCAAACTTACTTCAGTGGAGATAACAGAAACACACTTCATTATGATATGAAAATCCCCTATATTTGTGTTATTCCAATCCTGTGTTTTCCCATGTAAACAACAAGGGGCTTCACATTTCTTGGATAAACAATCTTTTGCATGTACTGGACACATTTGCTTTGTGTCAGACATCAAATCTACTTGTTCCTCATATATACTTTATGTTAAGGACTTCCTAGAATGTTCCCTAGGTCATTAGCTCCAAAAAGGCAGTCAGAATTCTGATGTTAAACTTCCTCTCCAACAGTATTCTTTTAACCCCTTGAGCCTTAAAATCTGGAATTCTTACTTTATATTCCATAGTCAACTATTGGATATATCTGAAGTATCCTTTTCACTGGAAGCAGCTATAAAAAATGCCAACTTTTCTTTCTTAAAACTGTACTTACCTACCTCAACTGGCCTAGATGATTGTTGCTATAAATAGTACAGATTGCAGCTAATTTGCCATTTGAAAGGAAGCAAATTTATATATACAATTTGTTGTAGGCAGTAATTCTGAAAGAACTTTCCTTTGCTTTATTTATACCAGTGTATTAGTGTTTAGCAACGCAAGATTCTCTGCTGAGATTGTAGTGTAGTTGATATATTAAGCTATAAAGGGACTACATGTATCAACAGTATTTCATAATTTAATGATTATGACTAAAGAAACATAAGGGCCACCTCTTCTCAGTGGAATTATGGTCTCATGGGACCAAGTTCATTCTTTTATAGTTGTCGAAAGTGTTATAACACATATATAATGAAATTGTTTCCTATAGGGTAAACACAGTGACCTTGATACTGAAATGATTAACATTTTGTGTGTGTGTGTATGCTTTTGTCAAAAAGTTGGATAGCCTGGACTACACATGTCATTTTCAAGGACATCTTCGAGGAAAAAGGGGTGACTGAGTGGAGATGACCACTAGCATCTGAGGTTAATCCAAACTACCACCAAAAGCTTAGTTCAATTATGCTTTGGTCATGCCAAAAGCTAGTTGAATTGCTGAAGACACAACTTACAAAATACTAATTTATTAATTATAAGGCATAATACAATTTTTGAAACAAGTGTATTTCTTGCATCAGTATATATTTGAGTTCTTAATTCACCCACATCCAAGTTTCTGGATCTGAAAATGATTCTGAAAATGATCTCTTGAGCATAGTCCTTATCAGACTCTTATGGGCAAGTGATTCTGATTTTAAAGACTTTCTTTCCTTTAATATATAACTTATTTTATTGATACTTTATTACATTTCCTTTTTCAAAGGAATCCATAGTGTTTTGAGAGTAATCAACAGGTATTTATAGAGTATTTTTGGTGGAAAAAGTGGATATAGATTCTTTTTTTTTTTTTTTAATGGTGCTGGGGATCAAACCCAGAGCTTCAAGCATGACAGACAAGTGCTGTGTGCTTTACCACTGAGTTATTCCCCCCCTTCTGCATATAGATTTTTTAAATCAAATTTCAGAAGTCTTAAAAGAATAAGATATATATATATATATATATATATATATATATACACATATATATATATATATTTAATCACTCTAGTATAAAAACATAAACTGTTTCTTCCTGTTTGTTTTTTCATTTGCTTAGATATTGTTTAATGAATTTGAACTATAGGTAACAGTTTAGTCTTTACCTTTCGACAGTTAATAGAAGAGTAATAAAATGTAGTATTCAGCATGAGGTAAAAATCACATAGTGTTCCCCTAATACATTGTCTGTGTTTATATGTTTGCAGAATAGAAATTGCTTAATATATGAATAGAAATTACAATTTGAAATACAGGGTACAGAAGAAGAATATAGTTCTAGGAACAGTGGATTAATTATATTAAAGACGTAAAGCACTATAAGATAACCTCTAAATGCCTCTAAAATTGAAGTGGGTCAGGTAAGCTTCCTATTGGAATTCTCTTAATTTGTCATCATCATAACCAATAGGTAATAGAGTGTTTTAGTTGCACACACTAATGCAGCCTCATAGCTTATGACTAACTCTTGGTTTGTGATTACCTGAGATCTCCTTCAGGAGAAAAGAGATCCTACTTTGTCTTTGTCACTTTGGGTGAATACCATAAACTGGGTGGCTTAAACAACAGACATGTACTTGGAGGTTAGGAAATCTTAGGGTCAGAGTACCATTCAATTTAGCTCCCAAAGAGGGCCCTCTTCCTGGTTTGCAGATAGTCTCCTTCCTGTACCTTTATGTGGCAGAGAAAGAGATCATCACTTGCCTATCTCTTCTTTTAAAGATACTAATTCCATTTATGAGGGCTTTGCCCCATGACATACCAAAGGCCCTACTTCCAGATCCATCACTGGGAATTAGAGCTTCAACAGATGAATGGGACAATGGGGCAGGGCACAAATATTCAAGCCACAACACACCTAGAGTCTGGATCATATTATAAACCCAGAGATGATAAAGATCACTTAGTAGGCCTGAACATAGATATTTACATATGCACACACATACATATACATGAGCTGCTTTGCTTTACAGTCTTTGAATATGACATCTGTAGTCAATATGTGAAGATATAGAGCAATAAATAAAACAGTTCAAGCTTTGATTCTTACCAAACTAACTCCTAAACATTATCAAGATTAGTTTAGACATTAGTGGCTCTCATGAAAAGTATTTTCTACATTAGCAAGACTAGCATCTTTGAATCTTTTAAGTCCAACTTGTTTTAAATGTATAGGGCCACTGGATTCAGGAACAAAATCATAGTATTCTTTAGGTGAATTTCACTAACAAAATCATAACTGCTGAATATAATATTTTGTCAAACAGTAAAGCTAATATTTTGTATACACAATCACACTTTTTATAATATATTTTGTTAATGTAAGCACGTAGTTATAAGCTGAGCCACGACTCTGTTAGACCAGATATCATATGTGCTAAAACATTTAAGAGCTTAACATATATCAATTATTTGAATTGCTGTTGGTTAAAGGAAACCTAAATATGTCCTAATTGTCAGGATCCTAAAATTTGTTTATTCAAAATCCAGAAAGCTTTTATGAATACTTTATATTTAAAAAGAAATTTTGTCTAAATAGATTTGAAATTAGATCCCTTTCAAAGAGAGCTCCACTGTATGCAAATAAAGCCTATAAAGAGCCAATAGTGGGGCTGGGGATGTGGCTCAAGCTGTAGCGCGCTCACCTGGCATGCGTGCGGCCTGTGTTCGATCCTCAGCACCACATACAAACGAAGATGTTGTGCCCGCCGAAAACTAAAAAATAAAAAGATTAAAAAAAAAAAGAGCCAATAGTGAAAATACTATTTATTCTGAAACCAAGGAAGGACATTCTGTTTGGGCTATTTACACTAGACCTTTCTCTAATCACCAAAGTTAACCTAAAGAGTTGTACAGAACACACTGAATTTTATTGTCAACATTCTCCATAGAAATCTACACTAGTGCTCCTTAAAACTTCAATGTGCAGATATTAAGTCAGCTTAGGGGGATTGTTAAATTGCAGATTCTCTGTTTCTAATAAGCTCTCAGGTAAAATTGATACTCCCCAGTCCACACTTAGAGTAAAAGCCTTTAACTTCCATATTATTTTCCCCATTTCAGAGAAAGGAGACAGAACTATCATTTTAATACCTTCTGTAGGCCAGGCACTTTCACACTCATTTCTTTGAGTACTCCTGCAAGTCCTGAGAGTGAGGTAGTAATGGAAGTTAAAGTGACCTGCTGAAGACTACATGTACAAGAAATGCAGCATAGAGCAGTGTTTCTCAAACTTGTATAATGTAATCCCCTTTTAATAAAAGGGAAAATCTCTTAACTCCTCAGTTTCCATTTGTTATATCTATTATCTTAATTATGTGTATTAACATAGGTAGGTATAAACTAGGCATAAATGCACAAGTATAAAACCAAAACAAGTTTGCAAATTAGAAATAGGCAAAACTATAAAAACTAGTCAAATTTAAGAGTGTTCATTAAATGTGATGGATGGTTTTGTTTTGCCACATCACT